GTAAAAAGGACAGAAATGAATGCTTCATTCAATTTCAATAAAGAAAAAAACAAATAAAGAGAGGGTTTAAAGTCTACGAGATTGAAAAAGATAACACCCCCTTTGATCCTTTCCACTTGCTCTCTTCTGAGGTCGCCCCCTTTTCAAACTTACTACCATGAGATTCGCCCATTGGTTAAAGGTCAGTTGGCCCCAAAAAGAAAATGACTTTTTTGGAGAAACAAAGTCAAGGCATGTGAAATGTCAATTAGCTATAGAAAAAATTAAATGTTGATGGAAAATAAAAGGAAAAGCACCTCTTTGTCAGTTTTCCATCACATAAGACGAGTTTAACACGGAACCCCGTTATAGCAAACCCTTTCATGCAATTATTATCTAGGTTTTAATTAACTATAACTAAATTATCCATGAGGTGGGCGTCAATGCAAGCTGGCTTCACAAAAGTCTTTTTCCTCCCTTTCCATATACTTTATTATCTTATATTAATTGTGCTTCACCTCCATATTAATAAATCAAATACAGTCCGTTGATTAATTGCCGTACGCCATAATTAAATGTTTTATTTGTCAATTTAACAAGATTTAATTCGATCAGGTTATAGCTTAATCGCCTTTTTTTTCTTTTTGTCTTTTTTCAAAGAGTAAACGACTTTTCCCACCCTAAGTTTAGCGAAAAGGCAGGTTTTTACCTGATTTCATAAATTCTAGAATGCCACCATTAAATTCACACGGTTAGTATTTTTTACTCCTAACACAATTGTAAATCACGCTATTACCATATTACCCTTATTTTTTATTACACCGCCATCCAATCACCATCACCACCACCACCATCCAGCCATCACCATTCACCACCACCCACCACCACCTTTCAAAACCATTATGACCGAAAGCCCCCGAAGTCCCCACCACCTTTCCACTCATCCACCACCATCGCAATCCCTCAAAACCCCAAAGCCCCGCTGCCAAACAACCACCACCAAATCACTCACACTTTCAGCCACAAACCATCACCAGATCACTCATAAATCCAGCCACAAACCCATCCAAAAACCACCACCAAATCACTCACAAATTCGCCACAAACCCACGCAAAAACCACCACCAAATCAATCATAAATTCAGCCACAAACCCACCCAAAAACCACCACCAAATCATTCACAAATTCAGCCTCAAACCCACCCAAAATCCAACACCAAATCACTCACAAATTCAGTCGCAAACCCACCCAAAAACCACCACAAACTCAGCTATAAATCCATCCAAAAACAACCACAAACCCACCCAAAGACCGCCACAAACTCAGCCACAAACCCACCTAAAAACCCAGATTGGAAACGCGGGAGTTTACCTGGGAGAGAGAAATGAAACTGATGTTTTGTTGAGAGAAGAAGAAGGAAAAAATGGCAATCCAAATCTGGCCACAGCGTGATGGCCTTACGGCGGCCAAATCCAGCCGCCTTGGAGCCTATTCCGACAAGGGAGAAAAGGGAAGAAGAAAGAGAGGAGGAGCAAGAAAAGAAGAAAAGAGAGGAGGAGGAGAAGAAGAAGAAGAAAAAGAAGAGGCGGCAGTGGTAGAGTGATGGTAAGTGGTTAACCGAATATGAGAGACAAAGGAGGTAGAGAGAGGGGTGGGACGGCTGGGGTGGTGATTTGGAATGAGTGGGTTAAATTACCACTTTATCCTTTAACTGTTACCAAAAATAATTTCCTGTTAATTTAAGGGTATGAATCTGGAATTTATAAAACTAGGGTGGAAACTTGGCATTTAGCTAAACCTTGGGTGAGAACGTGTCGTTTACTCTTTTTCAAATAGACAAATACGGAATAAAAAAAAACTACACCTAACCTAGTTTTAACCTCTTCATTAGCTCATCACCTCTTATCTGTTTAAAAAATATAAATTATTTCTTGATTGTACCCCTCAGACTTTGAAATTAATGTCTTAGGGAAACTCTTTTCCATGTGGTCATTGGTTATTTATCCAAATATTCTCCCAATTAATGAATTTGATTTTGAGTACGCAAAGCAACAAAGAAAATAAAAGCAGATTTCTCCCGTGTGATAAATAAAATATTCTTCCTTTGATCTCAGCTTCTAGATGGTACATAAATCACGCACCAAATAATTCCCCAACAAAAAAAAAATAAAAAATAACGTCATGAAAACGTAGGAATTAATAGGTCTAAAGGTTTGAGGGATGATGGATGGACTTGGAGATGGCGTTTTGTCTGAATGTAAGAAGCAGTAGCAATTGGTAGGGGTGGGTTAGGGTTTTTTATCCTTTTAAAATAAAAACTTCTAGAAGGCTGCAACGTGAGTAATAGCAAAGAAAGAACTAAAGCAAAGCTACTTAAGCATCTAGGGTACACGGAACGCTTCATCAGTTTGGACTTTAAATTATTTCCTATGGAACTGAACGTGTGGGCAAAGGTAGTGGGGTCCTAATTTTAAAGCTAGCCGCCGCCGTCCTTGGGGCTGTCACGGCAGCTGCCACGCCAGACGCTGCTTTCGGTGTCTTTATGTTTTCAGACTCTTTGAGTGACCGTTGCATGTCAATTCACTTAACCCACCAGACCCGTTAATATTTATCTGCAAATTCACCTTCATTAATCTTCGCCAACACCACACCCCGCCAACCTAATTATACTTGACAAGTAATTGATCTATAAATTTATGTCTTCTCTTTCTATTTGGATTGGAGGAGAAAATTAAGTTTCATTCTCAGCATAGTAGTTGTCTATATCAGACGCGTTTAATTTTCAATATATATTACAAGGGAGGAGGAGATATTTAAAAGTTTTAGTTAAGTTACCATTGACTTGGGGATATCCTTCACATGGAACATAAGAGATCTGGCTTATTTTTTTAGTGTGAGGTAGAGAGTAGAGACAACCTCATCATTCTCATTTCTTCTTTCTATAAACCAAGAGAGCGACCTTCCAGCTATGGATTTCAGTGTCATATGGAAAATTAACCTTCTAACATTGACCTTACTTTAATTTTTCCACATCTTGACTAATCAACTAAGATATTTTTTTTTGTATAAATATATTTTATTGATTAGAATTATATATTTATATGATGGCAGTCGTAAGAGGTTTTATTTTTATTTTTTGTTATCCGTCCTCATTTTGTATATTCTTTTATACATTCATATACAAGAAGCTGTCAATGTAGTCGACATTGTTGACATTAAAGCTAAATCAATATATATACTTAAGTTTTTCAAAAAAACATAAATTTATAAGCTACATTTTTATTTAGAGGAATTCATCAAGACATTACAATATTAATAGCATAAATTAACACATGTCACTTGGGAGTAAAGGATTGATCCCCCCATCATTCGAAAATAAACTTTCTTGAATATACTTAAAACCCTTCTTCATATGCTCTAGTTAGAGAATTCTGTTTTTCCCTTTTATAAATTAATCCAAACCGTATAGATAGAGAATTATCAATAGTACTGGAACTTATTTAATCATTTACAGGGTTCATTATTTCAAATTCTAATAACCAATCACAAAATTAAGTGAGGATAATCCTATATATTTTTTTTTTTTCTTTTTTTTTTTTTTTTTTTTTTTTTATATTTTTTTTATTATTTTTTTTTTATATTTTATTTTTTATATTTTTTTTTTTTTTCTTTAAATTAAAATTTGTTTTTAAAAATTATAATCAATTTCTTTTTGAAATCAGATTGCTTCCCTGACCTTCTCAGCTATTTATCTTGATTTTTAAATGTACGAAAAAAAGATTTTGAACTTGTCTTAACAATTCATCAGTAACACATTCCTGGAGAGTTTGAAGTGTACATCCATATGTCGACATTAATTTGAAGACTTCAATTTACGCATTGTTCGCAATTTAACTGTTTCTTAATTAAATTGGGTCCTGGGTATATTTTTTTGGATATATTTTGTTTCATCTAGGTCAATTTATCAGTGTGGTTCTATATTAGTTAAAGTCAATTGGAAAAACTTTTATCCATCAAGAAGAAAAATAAATAGAAAGCAAAAAAGTCAAACATGCAATGGACGATGTGCATTAGTTGTTACACCGAAATTTAGTATACTGTCTACGTAGTTAACTGATCACCAAGAAAAAGTATACAAAAGAACGTCAATCAACCGATTGTAGTACCCAAATTCTAAAAGCTAAATCAATTTCAGTCGATTGCTTAATGGGAGAAAAATAACATATGTAGTCAGCTAATATGTCGATATAAGAATAATATACAAGGACCATCCTACAAATATTGGTCCCTTCTACTCAAAATTCAATCAAAATCAAATAAGTCAAATTTTCCTGCTCATTTTGATGCTAAAGTTCCATAAAAGAAGACACACAACCAAATTCAATGGGAAATATCTTGGCCGCTGTACCGTGTAGCACGCACACCGCCGGAAGCCCTATGCTTAGGTCGGGTGAGTAGTGAACAAACCTTGAAGGGAATCTTGATTATTATTCCTGCACAAAAGGTAATTATGCATTTATGCTTACATTAGATATAAGGTAATTAAGGTGATATATGCTAATAAAATAATCCAAGGTAATGTGATATTGTAAATTTGTAGTTAAAAACATAACGTAATGAAATAATTAAATATGTATAATAAACGTATAGCCGAACCGAGTCGAGCCAAGTTTTCTCATAAACAAGCGCCGTTGACGTGTATAGAACAAAAATAACGTGGGGGGTTGGGTTTCAAAGTCAGTGGGATTAGGTATTTCTCTCTTTTGTAGGCCCCGATAATTATCCTAACCACCGTCAGATAGAGCCGTGCCGTCAACTTCGTTGACCTCAAGACGTCGCCCCCACGTGGACACCCGCACTCAATTCCCCTCTACTAGAACTCCGAAGCCCGTTACCCCTTCCCCACCAGTTTAACGGAACCGAAGCAAGATCCGTCGCTTCTTCACAATTAGTTTCACACAATTTCTTGTCCTCCCTTCCTCAGAGGTAGCCACGTCTCCCCTTACATCCAACTGACGTCATATCTCCCGCGAAAAAGACGGCTGGTCTTCGTTTACTCTTTCTGTCCAGGCCTCATCTTTGGACCCCCACTTACAAGCTAAGCTTCTGTTAAAAAAAAAAAAAAAAAAAAAAAGAGAGAGAAAGAAAAAAAAAAAAAGTTTATATACTTTAGTTGAAACTTGAAAGGGCAACACAACTGCTTCTACTAGTCTTTCTTTAGTCATGGAAAATCAGCAACAACGCCGTGAATTTACATTCTTGCACTCCGGTGACTTTCTCCGTCGAAATTCTAATCGGGTAGTTGAGAATTCCGTGGATCATGATAAGCCTCCGATCAAAGAAGTGGATTTCTTTTCAAGTAACAATCACTTACCTGATCATCAAAAGAGAAAATATGAATCATTAACTCAATTTGATTCGAGTATAAACGTAAGGTTTCAGAGATTTGGCTTCATCTTTCTTCTTTTCTAGGCTGTATCCACTAACCTTTAGAAACATGTATATATCGACGATCATTTATAATTTATGACAATACAATACTTATGGTTGATGAGTTATCTATATATGTTGCACAGACTGGATTGGATCTCCTCAGTTCAAGTTCTGGAAATCCATCAAAAACAGCAAATGATGAGAAATCTAATACGGAGGTGTGTTTTGGCAAAGGAACTTTCATGTTTTTATATTTATCTTTCGTTTCTTTTTTCTTTTTTTCAATGTTTTTGTCTTTTTGATTAACTCGAAACTGAGAGTTATTATTTTCAGCGGAGTACGCTTCAAGTTGAGTTAGACAGGTTAAATGAAGAGAACAGAAAACTGAGAAACTCGTTGGGTCAGATAACAAAAAGTTACAATGAATTGCAGGGTCAACTAATCTTGGCAATGCAAAAACAGGCACATGGGAGCCCGCGAGAGCAGGTGAGTTTTTACCTTTTACTTAACCATGTTAGTTTATCATTTTTTATGGGTCGTAATTTTCCAGCACGGTAAAATGATCAGAATGAAGATTTCTTATTAAGTCTAAACTCTAAACCATATCATGTATGAAAACTAGATGACCACTAACAAGATAATATGAAATATTATGATTATCATCAATTAAAGTAATCCTTTTCTTTATTTCACAAGGAATTGGGTAACGTGCCTGACTTAAATTTATGGAAATTGCGATTTCCTGATCCGATATCAACTTTTTCAACGACTTATTATTTATCTTTCCCCTTTGGTGTTCTAGTAACTGGAATGTAATATGCAAAGCCACCTACACAGAATTAAATTTCCCTGTCTAAAGTTAGATATTATTGTCTTCCATTCATCTCAAGTAGTTCAATCTCAATCAAAGATTTTACTGTTAAGCTAGCTGGTATGCCCGGAATGGTGATTTTCCTCCATTACACGAGCAGTTGGTAATCAACCAAATTAAGAACCACAAATTTGTACATGCAAATTTTTGTTTTTTTATAGAATTAAAATACAAATATTCTATGATAACTTTCGTGTTGTTAATCAATTTAAGGAAAAATATACTATAGTTTTCACCAAGGTATGCATGGCGTTTGGCAAATTCTATATATCAATTAAGAAAGCATATATGTTAGTCTTAGTTTTTATATAACTTCTTAAAGTTTTTTTTTTCGGTGCCGCTTTTGAATCTAGTTAATTGACCAACTACTATTCTTGAACAGAAAGCTGAGTTGAATGACATGTCAAGTCTCATAATGTCAGCCCAACAGTTTATGGACCCACGGTCATCTGCGGCATTAAACGTCAACGAGCCTTCGATATCCAATAATGAGACTCAAGAGCTGTCAATTTCTCCGGCAAATACTAGTGAAATTATGTCAAAGGAACGTGAACGTCCTATGATAAAGATTCCTGCAGGGAAGCAAATTTCTTCTGAAGATAGTTGTGACAAAACATCGCAGAGTTGGAGGGCGTCCCCTAAAAGTCCAAAGTTTGATCAAACAATGAATGAAGAGCAAGCTCCTGAGGCGCCTTTTAGGAAGGCAAGGGTTTCCGTAAGAGCAAGATCAGAAGCTCCACTGGTAAGAAATTGCACCTCTTATTAGAACTGTTTAATAAATCTAGGACATGAATCCGTATTAGATAGTAAAACATTTTCATGTGGCTCAGATCAGTGATGGATGTCAATGGAGGAAATATGGTCAAAAGATGGCCAAAGGCAACCCTTGTCCACGTGCCTACTATCGTTGCACCATGGCCGTTGGATGCCCAGTTCGTAAGCAGGTACAGTGCTCTTCCTCCAATCACTACGACATGATGATAAATGGTAATTTATTTATTAATATAACTATTGGACGTCTCCATCTGCAAAATATAGGAGGAATTAGTTAATATGTCATTGATCTTCACAGGACATTAGACCACATACAATTATACAAATATAATGTATATAGTAATACCATTAAAACTCACGTACGTGCTTCTACTGTTTATAACCATTTAGCTTTTTCCTATTCGCGATCGGTTGCCAAAATTACCAGACCTCTTCCATTTCTTGGGTGTCTTCTAAACCATGCAAATTTATTCTTGCATGTTTCTCAACAGGTGCAGCGATGCGCAGAGGATAGGACCATTCTCATCACCACCTATGAGGGGAACCATAATCACCCTCTTCCTCCCGCAGCCACAGCCATGGCTAGCACTACCTCGGCTGCAGCAGCCATGCTCCTTTCAGGTTCAACCACTAGCAAGGACGCTATAACAACCTCTGGATTCACCAATTCTCTGCCCTATGCTTCAACAGTGGCCACCCTCTCTGCCTCTGCACCATTTCCCACCATCACCCTTGACTTGACACATAGCCCAAACCCCATGCAATTCCTCCGCGGCCCTCCTTCAACGCCCACATTTCCTCTACCTTTTCATGGTTGTCAACAACTTATAAGGCATCCAATGTACTTGGCTCCTAAGCTACCTACGGTGCCAGCATTGCAATTTGGTCAACAACAACATCCTTCCATGGTTGAGACAGTTACTGCAGCAATTACTTCAGACCCGAATTTCACAGCAGCTTTAGCTGTTGCAATCTCAACAATAATGGGAACGCAAAAGAGCAATGATGGGAACAATAACAATGTTAGTGGTAACGGGGGACCCGGGTCCCCACAGCTTCCTCAGTCTTGCACAACTTTCTCCACAAACTAGGGCAACATTGCTGGTGTTTGAGCTTTAATTTCATGATGATATTTATAAATAATGCCTTTCTTTCCTACAAGAGTATAATGCTGGCTAGTTATATGGCTCTGGAGAGAAGGAACCCTCGATTGTTCGAGTTGTTGATATTAGCTGATAGATGTATGGATTCAGCAGCAACATGGATTATTTGGATTATAATGACGTGGCTAGCTTGGACCTGCATTTTGGATCAATGCTTGCGCCTCAGAGTTTCAGGCATTGGATAATTACCTTCCCTTCAGTTAACCTTGTCGTTTATTGTTAACAGCATATACCGAGCCCTACAGATAAATTTTGGCATACCAGTACTTTTGCATCAAATTATGAAAACAATATATATTCCATGCACATATATGTTCAGTAAGGATTTATATTAATTATATTTGCTGCATTTTTTTTTTTTTTAATTTTAAATCTTAGCTATTGTTAGATGATCTAAATAAATACCAATAAATAATAAAATTTATAATATAAAGACAATTGTTTCTGTAACGGTTTTGATTATTATTTTTAATGAATTTATCAATTATTGGATCAACTGGTAGCCGAGATTTTTAATGATAATATTAAAGTCAATAAAGAAATTGAGGAACACGTTGGATTGTTTTGGATTTACATAACATAATTATATATATTATAAATTTGTTTTATAATAATTTAGCACGTATATATGAGGCGCTGATGATGTTAGGTTTATTATAAAAAAGATTTTCCTTTTGCATTGAAAAATGTACTTAGGAAATTTGTTCAATGGACAGAAGTAGCAATTTTTAAGAATTTTAATTAAGCTTGAGACTTTTACTCATCGATCTCTCATCTCCAATAATGCCAGCATTATGATTCTTGTTATGCCTGGGAAAATAAGGACTGACATGGGAAAGTCATGTGAAGAGTGACCTGCTCCCGTCAGAGCAACACGCACATGTCAGACCTGCTAAATGATATGGAGCTCACACGTGTCCTTTTCTCCTGCAATAAATCGTGCGAAATCAGCTTGGGAAGAGAGCAATGGGACATAAAGCCGGATTATATCCTGACAATCACACCAACCCATGGATTTAATGATGATTACACACTTCAGTTTGATATAAAATGTAGAAGACCCCTTCATTAAGGGGATTCGGCCATTTTTACATTAAGAAACTCTTTCTCTCTCCTGTAAACACATTTACTTTTCATACTCTTCTGTAAGTCAGTCCGCTGTTGCGACCTGACCCACACTAATATCAATACAAATCAGTGGACGTAGGACTTGCTACCTTAGTATCCGAACCACTTTAAAAACTCTCTTTGTATTTATTTCGCTTTCTATATTCATTATCACGTGTGTTTATTGTCCAATCAACGTTACGCACGTGGCAATTCGTTGGTGCCAAAATCTAGCATCAACAATTCTTGACACGATTGTTAACTAATTTGACTGGAATATTGAAAACCGCTTATATTAGTGAGGAGATTCTTCAACGTTCTATAAATGGCTATTTTTCAACCCATAAGCGTTAGAAAATTTAAAAATGTCCAAGTTCTCTGAACGCTAACTTGGACTTATCAAGATTGACAGAGAATTTCAACAAACAAAACCATACGTGCAAACCAGAAAAATGTAATTAAGAATTCCACCAGAGCTAGCTGTAGTTTGTATATAAGTATATGTACACCGTATTATTATATAGAAACATGCAATTTTCACATAAAATGTTACTTGAAAAATAAATTAGATTAAACATGTTGTGTGAGAAATCCGGAAAAGATAATTCCCTATTAGGAGAGAAGATATTTAGATTTGATCAATTTGGAAGGAAAATATTCAGATTGACTTGGACTTAAACTAAGGTAATCAAAGATCATGTAACTTTCTAATTCTACGTATTTGAATCTTACCTCAACTCTATCATGTAAACGAGTGCTATATAAACCCATCAGAACTTGTTTTCGGAGGGTTGAGCAATTGTTCCAGGAAAAGATTCATCATTTGTAATTCTCATTCAATAAGAGAAACAGTGAACGTAGGCTCAACATTCAAACTTGCCAAACCACTTTAAAAATTGTCTTTTGTTATTACTCATATTTTCTCTTTAATTATTCAATTGTTGATTTTTATTAAATCACACACACATCTGTTCTAATTCCATCAGGGTCAATCAAATCTTTTGGGTTGGTGCAAATTTTCGTATCAAAAAACAAATTTATGTTAATCTTTACTAGTTATTTGTGGAATACTGGAATTATTGGAGGAAATCAATGTTAAATGAAAATGTAAAGATTAACGTATAAGGTTTCAAGGACGACTTCATCCAAAAAAGGCCTTTGGGTTATCAATTAGTTTTAAAATCTGAACTTAAAGGGCTGAAAGGCCCAAATGAAATGGTCCAATTATAACTTGCCTATTCTTTATTTTATGGCCCAACGATGACGTGGCTGGCATAGCGTCACAACTCACAAGCATCATCATAGCCGTCGTGATGGACCAGATCTGCTTCAGAACTGTTGACTGATCTCCTTTGTGCGCCGTTCAAATTTCAAAATATATGACCGTTGGGCTACGAGGTTCATTTTGAGCGTGAAGGGGCGTGAACTTCAAGGAAAACAACAAGATTAGCTGCCAAGTGCCAACTTGAGTAAAAGTTTTTTTTCGCTTTCCTTCAGGGCTCGAAGCAAAATCTATGGTTTTCTAAAAGTTTATTCCTTCAAAATCCTTTTTTTGTTTTTGAATAAAAATCTGCAGCGGCTACACTCTTCAAAGTGCCGAACGATGGTCATGAACATGAGACGCCATGGCTGGCAACGCCCTCTCCACCCTCTACAGGTAATTAAAAACCACTCTTGTTTGTACCACAAATTTGTGCGAATTTTATTGACATAATTAGCCGTAAGTTAAATATCACACATGTTTAGTTTCATTGTTGGATAAATTGCAGATGGTGGGAATGGCGGTGTACAGTTTTCTGGTGGTGGCTTTTTATACTTTTTTAGGCCTATTTCTCGGAAACAGAATTGCTGAAATCACTATAACCACGATCTTTTCCTTTGTGGTAATATATCAAATCAACCCAGTTCAACCGAATCCTCTTCTTTGTCAAATAATATTTAAATCTCTCTGAAGTTAATCGATTTCCTTGCTTTCTATTTTTCAGGCACTTTCAGTTATGTTTTTATTTATAAGGTGTACCGCAATTGACCCTACTGATAAGACCAGCTTTAGGAAGAAGAAAAGGGCCAAATCTAATGGGTTTGCAAAGCTAAATTATGGATTTATATTGGGACAACTTGTGGTGAGGTTTTTCAGAAGAGTGGAGAGGAAGATACTTAAAGCTTTTATAAGAAGAAAGTATCTGGATCCTTTGAAGACTAGTACTCAATTGGAACCATTGCTCCCATTTCCCCTTGTTATGAAAGATGATGCGATTTCACCTGACCTTAAAGAGGATGACATTTCATTTTGCTCCTTATGCGATTTTGAGGTTGGCAGTTTTGCACTTTCGGTGGTCTTCTTGTAAGATTAGCATCATATTTAATAGGGGGAGAAATTATTAAGGCATCTCATGAAAACTTTTCTTTTTTTCATATCAGGTGAAAAAGCATAGCAAGCATTGTAGGACTTGTAATCGGTGTGTTGAAGGGTTTGATCACCATTGCAGGGTAAGAGTTTGGGCAATTTCCTATACATTAGCATTGGGCGGCATTTTTAGCTTTACTGGGTTTGTGTTAACAAAACATAAGAAGGCAATTGATAGCAATGTTCACTCGAAGTTGTTTATTTTTATTCCAGTGGTTGAACAATTGTGTTGGGAAAAGGAATTACACGACGTTCATTCTTCTAATGGTTTTCGTCTTGTTAATGGTTGGTAGCTTTGCATCTGTTAATTACTACTTTTGCTTTGTTACTTCGATTTACCCTTGCCAATTAAACTTTTACTGGTGTAGCTAATTATGGTAGGAGGAACTGCCATTGCCATATTCGTCAGATGCTTTGTGGATAAGAAAGGAATAGAACGAGAGCTGGAGAAGAGGCTGTATATAGAGTTCCCAAGAGGGGTTCTGGCCACCATATCAGTAATATTACGTTTTGTCTTCTTTCCTTTGGCAGTATTTAGTGAAACTAAATTCAATTTTTCTTTATAATTTGTTGTAACTCCTTGAATTGTCACAGGTTTTCTTGGTCCTAATGACAGCTTACGGAACAGCAGCAATGGGACAACTTTTCTTCTTTCACGTGGTTCTCATTAGGAAGGTAATTATAAGCAGCCTCTTGTAGAACATCATCTATCATGTTGGTTGTGTTTGGTTCAAGTATAGAAAGGGGGAACAAGTAGCTATAAAACATTATGCTCTAGGCCCCATAGGCTTACAACTTTGGCTATTTCGCTTTTTGCTTCCTCAGATCTGCTGCTTTAATAATTATATGCATTCAAACACAATGTGACATAGCAGCATAATGTTATAAATTCCATTCATCTGTTTAAATAATTGTCGACCAACATCCAATGATTTGAACTTAACTTCATAAGTTCTAGATGGTAACATGTTTTGACCAATATAGGAAATATTCTTTTGTACAAAGTGTGGTTCAACAAAACTAATCTCATAAAACAATTCTTTCTTACTCTCACACGCAGTGGATTCCCTCTATATCTAATTTGTCCAACCTTGAATTGTTATTTTTGGTTGCAGGGAATGAGAACGTATGATTATATCTTGGCCATGAAAGAGCAGAATCAATTTCCAGAACTAGATGATGATTCAGACTACTCTTCAGATGACAGTGACTTCGATTCACCAGAAAGATCGACATTTGTGTCAAGATTTATATGCAGAGGACATAATAGGATAAATCAGGTATATATTTTAGTCAAGACTCTCTTACAATATACATTCCTCTGTAGCAATGAGCACACTTACATTGGAATCGATTTTAAATTTCAGAATCCAGCTGTTTTGTCTGTGAGAATTGATGGAGATCCCAAACCTTCCACCTTTACTAAGAAACAAGGCTTTCATGTAAGCATCAACCCTTGGAAGCTGATAAAGCTGAGTAGAGAGAAAGCTCTACTAGCAGCAGAAAAGGCTAGAGAAAGGCTCATGAGACAAAAGCCAAAGATGGAACATGATTCTTTACAGCCACTACCATTGGAGACAAAATATGGGCCACTTATGAAGCCGGATACGAATTTGGCAAATACGGGATCAGGCACAACGCCTCTTATTTCTATAGAAAGGTTTACTGGGTCACCGGTTATGTTTTCAAGCCCAAGAAGGCGATTTTCAAGCTCCCCAACTAGGTTATCCGGCGTGGTTCCATCACCAAAGTACAAATACAAAAGCAATTTTGACTTGAAGTTAACAGAGGTGTCAAGAGAACTGGAAACCCACATTTCAAGGCAGGTTTTATATTCTGCTATAAAGAAGGATGGGAGTGAGGCATCCCCAAGATAGGAATGAATCTTCTCTGAGTTTCTGGGTTCTCAGCCTTTGAGAAAATATTCATAGAATGTTTGTGTAATTCTTGATCATGATTGTCTTTTATTAAAATTGAAATCAACACATGTATGTAAGTTTTTTAGTTCTTACAATTTACAATTTATATATATTTTTTTAAATCTTTTTCTGTCAGAGAATTACTTGCACATTTCAAACTGTAATCTCAACACTTACCTTAAAAGTATTATAAAACCCTCAATAAACCCTAAAAGTCAATAATACACCCCATTCAACAATTTTATGCTAAGCTTTATTACATATCAATTCAAAGATCAAATAAAAGCATAACCTTTTAGAGAACAAAATTGCCGTCTTTTTCATGTTCATTCTATCTTCATTTTCTTATAATCACTCGATTATTTGTTGAAATTTCAAATACCATATACAACCAAAAAAAAAAAAAAAACAAGTTTTCAACTAGTAAGCTCATTCTATCTTCAATTTCTTATAATCACTCAATTATTTGTTACTGCACACAAAGTTACAAGAAACAATCTTTTCTCAATACCATCTCGCATGTCGGCAACCAAAGATCAGCAACTCCACTCATGTCAGGCAATCAATCACTGGGAACCTGTGTTGAGAGTGGCTAGAATCCAATTTCCAACTAAAATTGAACATTCACAGAAGAAGGTGATTTCACCACCGAGTAAATGCTACTTCATTATTTACCAAGACCATAACCGAGCACCTTTGTTTTGATTACTTGAACTCCACAAATGTCTGGATAAATGGTAACAATCTAAGTAATGCTTGGGGAAGATACTCTCCTTTAGAGAATCACAGGTTTCTGGGGTAACAAGGTTGGAATATCCTTCAATATATGAGCAATTCCAAGGAGACTCTGAGATTACATTAAGGGTAATGTTTGATAAGCAAATGTTGCGAAAATTGTCCCCTTCTATACCTTCTAGGAGGCCTGCCACTTTTATATTTTTCCCAGTGACATCTTTAATGGTAATCCTTTCTATTATGGGAAGAGCATTTGGATCAAAAAACTCATCTGGGTGCTCCCCATACTGACCTGTAAACCTTATAGCTATGTCAACATGATCTAAGGTCACATTGGAGATGTATATATTTCTGACATAACCACCCCTTCCAGGGGAAGTCTTTATTCTAATAGCTGTGACTGAGTTGAAAAATTGGAGATTTTCTGCATGCACTTCAGATATACCTCCAGACATCTCACTTCCTATTGCAATACCTGATCCCAATTGAGTTTCTCCAATGAGCCCACGAATGATAATTCTTGTACTGGGACGACCATATGAAATCCCATATTCATCCCACCCACTCTTGATGGCAATCAGATCGTCACCAGTGCTAATATAACAGTCTTCAATGCAAACATCATCGGAAGAGTCTGGATTCATTTAAATAATTAGTTAAAAAAAAATGGGAATTCATAATTGAAACAGGAAAGTGATTGTATTAAATATATCATGTTCGGATTTTCATAATCGAAAATCTATTTTGCTTCATTATGTGCTAAACATCTCTTGATTCTCAAAACAAAGAATTTATATGCTACTTAGTATTGGCAGCTCAAACTAGAGAAAATATTAAAAGACCAATAATATGAGAAGCGAGATTTTCCAGCCTAGAAGAAGATGCTCACCTGGATCAATCCCATCTGTGTTGGGTGAATCAAGTGGAGCAAGGATAGTGACATTCTGCACTCTAACATGGCTGTTCATCCATAAAAACAGTCTCAACTCTCCCCCTAATTCATAAAAGCTTCACTTTTGTACAGTTTAAATTGGTAGCAAGAATACTTGAATTCAACAGATAAAGAAACTAACAGAAATCCCTTCAAAGAGGACAAACCTGCAGTATACAGGGTGGATAGTCCAAAATGGTGAGTTCAAGAAGGTCAAATTTGAGATGACAACACCGCTGGAGTTCATCAATTCAACCAGATGGGGCCGGGTATAATCCAGGGTTCCACTTTGAAACCACTCCCACCATATTCTGCCTTGGCCATCAATAGTTCCATTGTCACCTGAATGGAGTAACCAGTGGCATCAAGAAAACAAACATAATATATTCAGCAGATGTCTGTTTATTAATATCTCCAACCTGTTATGATAATATCGGTCAAATTGCGTCCATATATGAGGCTTCTATGTCTTCCACCAGGCAACTCCCTACCTCGGCCGTATGATGGTAGAGGATCAACAACCGGCCAATCATCTGAGTTCTGAAACAATGCACGGTAAGCTTTTCAGGCTACAGCCTCAATGTCACAACAGACTACTACCGAATTGGACATGGAGATCAAACTATTTCAAGATCTGAAAAAACTCCAGCTAGAAAGGAAGCATTAATGATCACAGATAAGTTGTCATTCTCACAGTAGTACTTTTACACCATAGAAACAATGATTTACTAACACAGCAGCTGAGGGCAACTTCCCTGGCATGACGTTAATACAACTATCAATGTCTTAAAGTTCCAAGACCAATATTTCCATGCCATAATTTAATTCATAATAATCCAATTAATGGCAAAGTGCAGCTAATATGCAGAAATTTTATACGCATCAAGAGATGTCCTTTTAGGAGAAGAAGAGGGCTTACTGTAGATCCAAGAATTACTGCATTCTTATCTAACCACAGGGTTAAATGACTGATGAGATCGAAGCTTCCTGTCAACCACCTGCCTGCTGGGACAAAAAGCTTGGCCCCACCCTTGTCAGCAAATGAATTGAGATAGAATATAGCATTCTGAAAGGCTTTGGTGTTGAGAGTGACACCATCTCCAACAGCTCCGAATTCAGTGATAGAAACACTATGAGGCCTAATCATCCCTGATTTTGTTTGTCTGCACTGTGAGCTGCCCTTGACAGCCCATGAAGTACCACTCAAGAATGCTAGTAGCAGAAGCACATCCACCAGCTAAAATTGAACATTTCACAAAGGATTAATTATACATAATATTAGGTCCAAATAAACAATTTCCTTTTCATGCATTTCTAATTAATCATGTCACGGGCAATTTAGTTATATTAGGTAATCTGTAAATGGGAATTTAGGCAACAGAAGAAATCATATTGTGAATCAACAGAAACACTGCTAGCTGATAGGCTAATTGAAACGTTATAAAGTAGTCAAATGTGTAACTTTATCAACCAAGACATGGAAAATATGTGATCTTCACAGATTTCACGCTTTTTATATGGTTGATGAATGGAAAAACTCATCAAATGAGCCACATTTTGCCAAAAAAAGTTATTAAACCAAGAAGAGCAACATGCCACACACAAAGAAAAAAGAAATAATCAGCGACTCAATTCCAGTGTCCACCTCCACTAGAAAAGAAAATAGCCAAAAAATAAAAAATCAGGTTTCTTTAAACCAGAGAATATGAGACTGACTTGAGATGATTCCGAACAGGCTATACTTAACAGATGTTCTTAAACATTATTTTTCAGATCTTAGTGCCGAATTCAGTGTTAAGAGTAGAGAAGCAAGAAGCTAAGCAGAACAAGAAGAGAGAAAAAGAAGCAGGGAAGTAAAAACTCACAGTGAAGGATCTCTTCATATGATTGAGATCTGCTAATTTGGTCTTCCGTCCAAGCAGCTTAACAAAGCCTTTTAACTTTGTTTCACACAATCACACACTGACCTACACCTACTGATTCCTTTATGAGCAAAATAACAAAGAAATAAAGAGAAAGGTTGACGAGGATGGTTGGTTATAAATCAAGATCTCTCTCCAGCAAAATATGCAAAGTGTGTGTGTTTAAGTGATTGGATGGGTCACTGAGAGAACCACCACCACCACCCAAAGCAAAAAATCATTGATAGCGACTGTTGATGCCCGCCAAAAAATAAGCAGTAGGTCCCTCTTGTGTCTTCACCTGCTCCTCCATTACCCCTCTCTCTCTCCAGTTTAATTTCACAGTCTAGACAATATGAAGTGACTCAGGATGATCGAGCAACAATATATTCATTCAAATCCTAAATGGGGTACTAGTATATACTCTTTAATCAGCAGAGAAGACTAGTATCAATTTTTTTGTGTGTGTTTGATTCTGTTTTAAAAAAGCAGTAGCTGTAGCTTTTTTATAACTTGGGTTGACACTTGACACTTGAACTCTTCAAGAAGCTGATAGCATGGGGCATCACAGTCTATCGCCCTCAACTCATTTGACAATCTTATATTTTCATATTCATCTGTAAGGTTTTTAATATCAGTCCGAAGACAAAGAAAAAACTAACTGGTTGCTCTCTCTCTCTGTGACTAAACAGTTGGCAAAGTGTTTTGTTTGGTTTGGTTTGATAAATCAATGATGCAGAAGAGAGCTGAGAGCGTAGCTGTGGAGGAGAGATTAGACATGGACAAGAGCTAGCTTGTAAAACACAGGCCAAAGCTGGATGGATGTTTGATATGTGAACTGATGCGGCCAGGCCAAAACATTACGATTCACCAGGGAAACGGCACCATCCAATCAATTTGGCTTAAAAAACAAATAAATTAATTAATTACAACCCTTTTGTTTTTGTTAATCTTGTAACTGACAAATATTGCCTTCCCAACACTAATCCCGAGTTCTTCACTGTCTTAAAGGCGGTCAAAACATTTTTTAAGGTAATAACTCAGTGGCTTTTTACAGAGAGAAAGACCGTAACAGTCTTGACCAATGACCAAAATGGCTTTGTCTCAGCGACTAAGCTCTTAACAGTTAAACTGCGGGCTACTACATTTGCTTTGGAGGATGGGACCACTCTCCCACTCACTTCCTATCACAGATTTGACCCCGAAAAGGAAACCTTAACATTTTACAAGTCGGCAAATACGGCAATACCTAGAATCAATGCTTAAACTGAGTTGAATTGTGGATGTTTAAACAGTAATAAAGATGCATTTCTGTAGTTACAGTAAAAATACTCACAACCAAATATAATAAGTTATTCTTGGTACTAAGTACTAACGGCAATTAAGAAAAAATGTCTATAAAGAAGGAGACAAAGTCCAAAGCAGGACAAGGAAGATGCAAAGGAAGTCTTAATCAAAGCCTGTAATAAAATGTAGGGTTTCAGAAGTCAGGTATCCAATGCCCCCTTAACCAAACAAAACCATTGATGGGTTTAAACGGGTTTCAGAAGTCAGGATCCGGCTGCATGCATTAGCTCAGCAACCAGTTACAAAGCATTTGCATTTACATAAGTATTTGATTCACCAAAATCTTTCTTAGATATGCATAATTGCTTTAGTTCTGTAAAGAAGAAACGGGGAACAAATTTCATTGAACATGTCTACCTCTGCTTTGGTGTGTTGTCATTAATTTGTCCAAAACTGAAAAATTTAAAAGGATTACGTAAATAAAACCTACACTATCATGTGATTTCATAATAGTAAAGTGCTTTTTAAGTATGGGATGGAACGGTTGGATCTTCCGGATTAATTATGCTTTTCATAGCATGTTGTTCCAATACATATATCAAACTGATACCATCACCAACTTGTATAAAATGACTAGGGACCATTTCCAATGTATACTTTTTACTGATCATCTCCTCTCAATCAATACTTGCTTCTGTAATAAGCAATTAACCTGCAATCCCTGTTTTAGCTGTAAACTTTGCTTATTAATTATGATTTCTGTCACTCATACACGCATACTCATACACTAGTAATAATTTTGATTAATCTTAAATATAACTTTAATGGGTAACCTTAATTTGTTCAATTAACACCCAAAGAAAGGTAGATGGAAGTGTAAAATTACAAGTAATTACTAGTTGCATATTTGTCAAGCAAAATGGGAAACGTTATTAATAAACAAAACTACCATTGGGTGGTCTAGCGGGTCAACCAAGACTCTTGGGTGTATTAATTAAGAGGTCTTGAGTTTGATTCACTTTGGTTATTAATAGGAGTGATCACTGAGGGGATTTATTCGACTGTCAACTTCAGGGCATTGGAGGATTAGTTGAGGTATGCGCAAAATGGTCCAGACACCTTGGTCACAAAAAAAAAAAAAGATATTAATAAACAAATGCAACCAAACCATACATTCACCAAGAGAGGATTCAAATGGAACAAAGTTTGTAATATTATTTTACAAGGAATCTTTTCAAATAAAATGGTAGGGCAGAGTATAATAATAAGTTAGATTGTTGCCATAACCAATACTTAGTGAACACGTAAATAATGAAATCAAATACAAAGTATTGAACGTTGTTGGTGACCCATAATAAATAAAGATAAGTAGAGACGTTATGTTGTTGCTGATCTCTTCTAATTTGGTCTGACGTTAATTATTGAATTGAATGAATAGCGGTGGGCAGAGTCCATGAATATTTCCATGCTCAGTGCAACATTTGATTGATGGGGCGGCCATACTGATTTCTGTAGAAACCATTTAATTATAACTTGTTTTTGGATCTATTTACCAACTTAATATTTATTTCTTTTGGCTTCATTCAACAAGATCTTTAGGAGGACCACTTGGTATCTTGTATAATTAAAATAACTTTACCATGCATTGATCATAGTAATCTTAAGACAGTCTTTATGGAATAAAAAGCTGGCAAAACATGCGGGATATGGGGACCAATTCTCAAATTGTCTTTAGTCTTCCCAGGATGATGAAATTAATAAATACATGGCCGTACATGGTGTGTATTTTTCTTAATGATGTGCACTCAATACTATAACCCAACAATCAGTCAAGATCGGAGCCCGGGGACCAACAACGTGGGCTCACATCTCAAACACATGCAAAACATATTCGACACCTTTTTCGGCTTAATGGACCCTCTAGTCTATGAGGCCCAAACATCCCGTATTTGATTCTTGGGCCCTTCTTGTTTTGATTGTTGAGTGATGTTTAAGACTTTACGTTGAATAAGATTGTAAAATAATTTAACCATTGGAGCTTTTGTCGAGCAGGTAGTGTGCAGTCGGGAATCATATAATCATGCAAAGCGGGAAAAAAGCATCCAAAAAGCTTGTTGATGCCTCAAAGCCACCTAAGTCTGTTCCTCAAGAACAAGAGTACGTCTGTTTTTCTTTTCTTTTAAAAAGGAAAAAATTAAATTGATGAATTTTCTAAGTTCCTTGACGGCGTTTTACTTGAGAATTCTATTTGTTATTGAATTAATCACGAGGCGCTTGATTGTGTAGATGCTATGAAGGTGAACGTCTCGCTCGTTTACTTAAATTGATTCAAAGGTAAAGAAATTCCAGTTTCGTTTAGAACTTTCATAAAAATTTAATTTGATCAAACTAAGCTCATGATTTGGTTTTGATTATGTTGAATAGGGAGATAGAGTGTGCAAGAATCTTGGATGGAGAAACTTTACCGGAAAAAATATGGTTCAAGGTTTTTAAAACGCTACCGTTTCGTTTCCTTTATTTTTTATATTATTAAATTTTGTAATGGTATCTGATACATGAGAGTGTGAGTTAGCAATAATTCTCGATTGGGGTGAATGAAGTGAGTAGAGTGCTGGAGCGGATGGTACCTATTGCCGAGATGGGAATCTCTCTCCACCAGCCTAATGTATTTTGCAGTAAACGTCAAGCGCCAGTTGTTCAGCTTCAGGTTATTGCCTTTCTCTTACCTTTTACTATAAGGTTGTTACTTTAGAATGCTTATTGGAGTTTGTGAATGATGATTCCTACATTTTGGTATTTCAATTTTAATGAACTCTTGTCTCTCAAAATGCATTTTTAAAAGCCTAAGCAAACTGTTGTTGGATACTTCATTATACAATTAACTCATCCAAACGATCCCACCAACATTCCGAAGACGAAGAGGGCAAGACAACAATATTAGTTCCTATTTTGAAATTTAAATACTGAAAATCAAGTAAGAGTTTAATCTTCTTATTTAAATGGGTGGCTGGGTTTAGATTCTTTTCACTCTTAACATGATTTACTTTGAGTTTTCTGTTTATTTAACCAAATTTAAGTCTTTGTTATGCTATGAATAATCTATATTTAGGTTTGAATGAAATTGAGCGACTTAGCTCTTAACAGTTAAAACTGTGGGCTACTATATTTGCTTTGGAGGATGGGACCACTCTCCCACTCGCTTCCTATCACAGATTTGACCCCGAAAAGGAAACCTTAACATTTTACAAGTCGGCAAATACGGCAATACCTAGAATCAATGCTTAAACTGAGTTGAATTGTGGATGTTTAAACAGTAATAAAGATGCATTTCTGTAGTTACAGTAAAAATACTCACAACCAAATATAATAAGTTATTCTTAGTACTAAATACTAACGGCAATTAAGAAAAAATGTCTATAAAGAAGGAGACAAAGTCCAAAGCAGGACAAGGAAGATGCAAAGGAAGTCTTAATCAAAGCCTGTAATAAAATGTAGGGTTTCAGAAGTCAGGTATCCAATGCCCCCTTAACCAAACAAAACCATTGATGGGTTTAAAAGGGTTTCAGAAGTCAGGATCCGGCTGCATGCATTAGCTCAGCAACCAGTTACAAAGCATTTGCATTTGCATTTACAGAAGTATTTGATTCACCAAAATCTTTCTTAGATATGCATAATTGCTTTAGTTCCTTAAAGAAGAAACGGGGAACAAATTTCATTGAACATGTCTACCTCTGCTTTGGTGTGTTGTCATTAATTTGTCCAAAACTGAAAAATTTAAAAGGATTACGTAAATAAAACCTACACTATCATGTGATTTCATAATAGTAAAGTGCTTTTTAAGTATGGGATGGAACGGTTGGATCTTCCGGATTAATTATGCTTTTCATAGCATGTTGTTCCAATACATATATCAAACTGATACCATCACCAACTTGTATAAAATGACTAGGGACCATTTCCAATGTATACTTTTTACTGATCATCTCCTCTCAATCAATACTTGCTTCTGTAATAAGCAATTAACCTGCAATCCCTGTTTTAGCTGTAAACTTTGCTTATTAATTATGATTTCTGTCACTCATACACGCATACTCATACACTAGTAATAATTTTGATTAATCTTAAATATAACTTTAATGGGTAACCTTAATTTGTTCAATTAACACCCAAAGAAAGGTAGATGGAAGTGTAAAATTACAAGTAATTACTAGTTGCATATTTGTCAAGCAAAATGGGAAACGTTATTAATAAACAAAACTACCATTGGGTGGTCTAGCGGGTCAACCAAGACTCTTGGGTGTATTAATTAAGAGGTCTTGAGTTTGATTCACTTTGGTTATTAATAGGAGTGATCACTGAGGGGATTTATTCGACTGTCAACTTCAGGGCATTAGGGGATTAGTTGAGGTACGCGTAACATGGTCTGGACACCTTGGTCACAAAAAAAAAAAAAAAAAAAAAAGATATTAATAAACAAATGCAACCAAACCATACATTCACCAAGAGAGGATTCAAATGGAACAAAGTTTGTAATATTATTTTACAAGGAATCTTTTCAAATAAAATGGTAGGGCAGAGTATAATAATAAGTTAGAATGTTGCCATAACCAATACTTAGTGAACACTTAAATAATGAAATCAAATACAAAGTATTGAACGTTGTTGGTGACCCATAATAAATAAAGATAAGTAGAGACGTTATGTTGTTGCTGATCTCTTCTAATTTGGTCTGACGTTAATTATTGAACTGAATGAATAGCGGTGGGCACAGTCCATGAATATTTCCATGCTTAGTGCAACATTTGATTGATGGGGCGGCCATACTGATTTCTGTAGAAACCATTTAATTATAACTTGTTTTTGGATCTATTTACCAACTTAATATTTATTTCTTTTGGCTTCATTCAACAAGATCTTTAGGAGGACCACTTGGTATCTTGTATAATTAAAATAACTTTACCATGCATTGATCATAGTAATCTTAAGACAGTCTTTATGGAATAAAAAGCTGGCAAAACATGCGGGATATGGGGACCAATTCTCAAATTGTCTCTAGTCTTCCCAGGATGATGAAATTAATAAATACATGGCCGTACATGGTGTGTATTTTTCTTAATCATGTGCACTCAATACTATAACCCAACAATCAGTCAAGATCGGAGCCCGGGGACCAACAACGTGGGCTCACATCTCAAACACATGCAAAACATATTCGACACCTTTTTCGGCTTAATGGACCCTCTAGTCTATGAGGCCCAAACATCCCGTATTTGATTCTTGGGCCCTTCTTGTTTTGATTGTTGAGTGATGTTTAAGACTTTACGTTGAATAAGATTGTAAAATAATTTAACCATTGGAGCTTTTGTCGAGCAGGTAGTGTGCAGTCGGGAATCATATAATCATGCAAAGCGGGAAAAAAGCATCCAAAAAGCTTGTTGATGCCTCAAAGCCACCTAAGTCTGTTCCTCAAGAACAAGAGTACGTCTGTTTTTCTTTTCTTTTAAAAAGGAAAAAATTAAATTGATGAATTTTCTAAGTTCCTTGACGGCGTTTTACTTGAGAATTCTATTTGTTATTGAATTAATCACGAGGCGCTTGATTGTGTAGATGCTATGAAGGTGAACGTCTCGCTCGTTTACTTAAATTGATTCAAAGGTAAAGAAATTCCAGTTTCGTTTAGAACTTTCATAAAAATTTAATTTGATCAAACTAAGCTCATGATTTGGTTTTGATTATGTTGAATAGGGAGATAGAGTGTGCAAGAATCTTGGATGGAGAAACTTTACCGGAAAAAATATGGTTCAAGGTTTTTAAAACGCTACCGTTTCGTTTCCTTTATTTTTTATATTATTAAATTTTGTAATGGTATCTGATACATGAGAGTGTGAGTTAGCAAAAATTCTCGATTGGGGTGAATGAAGTGAGTAGAGTGCTGGAGCGGATGGTACCTATTGCCGAGATGGGAATCTCTCTCCACCAGCCTAATGTATTTTGCAGTAAACGTCAAGCGCCAGTTGTTGAGCTTCAGGTTATTGCCTTTCTCTTAACTTTTACTATAAGGTTGTTACTTCAGAATGCCTATTGGAGTTTGTGAATGATGATTCCTACATTTTGGTATTTCAATTTTAATGAACTCTTGTCTCTTAATATGCATTTTTAAAAGCCTAAGCAAACTGTTGTTGGATACTTCATTATACAATTAACTCATCCAAACGATCCCGCCAACATTCCGAAGACGAAGAGAGCAAGACAACAATATTAGTTCCTAATATGAAATTTAAATACTGAAAATCAAGTAAGAGTTTAATCTTCTTATTTAAATGGGTGGCTGGGTTTAGACTCTTTTCACTCTTAACATGATTTACTTTGAGTTTTCTGTTTATTTAACCAAATTTAAGTCTTTGTTATGCTATGAATAATCTATATTTAGGTTTGAAGACCTGACTCTGTTTTTTGGACTTGCTAGTTATGATTAAACGATGCTAATTAATCTTGCATTTTGTGTAGGTAATATTAGTTGCTGCTGATTGCAACCCTCGATGGCTAACAAAGCATCTGCCGACCTTGGCCTTATCTAGGAAGGTTCCTGTGATCTTTGTCAAAGATAAAAAAGGTGGATCTCTAAGATTAGGTGAGCTTGTCAAGCTAAAAACGGCAATTGCCATTGGGATAAAGGTAAGGGATCATGACATACAGATTTTGTATCCTATAGTTCTGAGAATATTCTTCATTGACTGTTACATTTTTCTTTTTATTCAAACATTAATTGAGACCTCATTTGACTTAGGCTAAAGGGAATTCCGTCAATCAAATTGTCGAGAAAATTCTTCAAGGCAGTGAAATAGATCTTGAAAGCCAGTGCCTAAAGTTGTCTGAGATGGCTACTGCATCCTGTTAATAATCTGAAGATTATATGCGCTGAAGTAGTAGGGGAAAATGACTGGATCAAAACAAGGAGTGATCTAACATGGCAAAGGTAGACATAGACTTATGATCTAGGGGAGCTTAAGATGTGGAAGAAGAAGGAGCTATCTAGCTTTTTACATGTTTCTAGGAGTTGGAGACCTAGGAGGGCCTGCTCCAATTATGTGAAAGCTTTTTGGGTACTATCATAATAACCGGAAACGCCATTGACGTATGAAGCCATAGCTCTTTCGTGAAAGACAAAAGTTTGCTCCTGAAGATATGTCTGTAATTGAAAACTCCATCGTATTTTAGTTATCTTCAGTGGATCATGTTGAAGAAGTTAGTAATGGTGGCTAAAAGGATATGATCGTTCTATAAAATTAAAAAACAAAAGTTAATAAGGTTGTAGAATAATATTGAAATTCTTTTAATTCTAATTTCGTGTGGTTCCTCAATTGTACAATTGACAGGTGCTTAAATTTCGAGATGTACATGGGTCAGATTTTAACGTACAACAAATGATTACAGGCTATTTACTGACACAGCATTTAAGTTCCAAACCTCCTTTCCCTTTTAGATAGAATTTCTTTACTCGAGGTAGATGTTATGCCCCAGCTTGCGGACCGGAAACTGATGAAGACGACTCTACTGCACCAACTGGATCAGGATTAGGGTTCTTATTACTACCTCTTCCGTTAGTAACGAGCTTGCTTGATTTATCAGTCGTCTGTGCTTTCTCCTCATCCTTTTTTACCAACACAGGTTGAAACTGCCAAATACGGAAAGAAGAAGAATCAGTAACTAAGAATTGTGGAAAACAAAAGATAGCAGTATTTTCAGATATGGTTGAATATGAACCTGATAGATAGAGTATATAACATTTCTTCTTATCTGTGCCATCATTTCCAAGAAGAGATTATAGCCTTCAAGCTTATACTCAATAAGTGGATCCCGCTGTGCATATCCACGTAAGCCAACAGCTTGCTGAACAAACTTAAGTGCTTGCAAATGTTCTTTCCATAACCGATCAATGTTGCTCAATATTAAGAATTTCTCAGCTTCCTTCATCAACCCCGGTGCTTGTTCCTCCACAATATCCTTAAACACAATATAAAAATGCCGCAGAAATCAAGATTAAAATTGGTTACTATTTTAGAATAAATTACACAAATGGAAACTCGGTCAATCCTTCATCCACAGCTTCTATGTATTAGAAAGTACTCTCCAGTAATTTAGCACAAGTTTCCCCTGCTTTTTTTGAAAGAAAATCAACTAAATGACCTAAGTACCAGAGCTCCATACTAAAGAGAAAAATCTTTCTCAGGTCAAAGAGACTAACCCTTTTGTGCAAATATGCTTCACGGCCACGAAGACGGAGGTAATCCTGCAAGTCCTCATAACTTGAGCCCTTGCTTCTCAGTAGATCAGGGGTCAAATCATTCAACAGGTAGCAGTACCTACATTCCAATAATATTTTTGTCAGCAAAATCCTATTGTAGTCAATACTAAACAAGGATTTTTACAATAAGGAGTTAAAAGATCTTACAATCATTCAAGCAATGAAGCAAACACTCCTTACTAATTTGGAATAATCGGAACAGGTGAGATACTAACACTATATCTATAAAAACATATACATAAACTAATTAAAAAGAAAAAAAGACTACCATGCATCAGAACCATGAAAAATCTGAAATGTTATCATGTAAAAATTGAGAACTGTAAATTACATTATTCATCCATCAAAAAGAATTCATGCTGTAGGCCGTAGCCTTGTTAAGCATACGAATTTTTTTAACTATGATGCCAGAGAAAGGAGGGTTCTTACTGTTGAAGTTTTGCAATTAGTTTCTCAAGATCCCAGCTTTCCTTTGGAGTGTCAGGACCAATATTTGCCTATTCATCAAAAAAATTGCAACTTGAGTAATACTCCAGTCTCCGATATTTAATACATATTGGTTATAGGGCAGTATTGGAGAGGAAAATGAACAAAAGAAGGCCTATAAATGCCCAAAGCAGTTCACCTCCAAGATGTCATCCATAGTCAATTCGGCATATTCAATAACAAGAGATTGGAGATCGTCAGATTCAAGGGCTCGTCTTCTCTCTGCATATACACGATCTCTTTGGCTGTTTAGGACTTCATCATACTCAAATAATTGCTTCCGAATATCAAAAAAATAATTCTCTACTTTCCGCTGAGCTTCATCTAGTGCTTTGGTCAACATTGTGGACTCAATAGGTAGGTCTTCAACTCTGAAAGCTCTCATCAAACCCTACAAGTTGCAATATCAGGAACGTTTTAGTAAACCACTTGCTGCGGTAGCATTAACCACTAGACAATCAAAATCAGAAACAAAACCTGTATCCGGTCTCCACCAAAAATCCTAAAGATGTTATCTTCAAGACTTAGGAAAAAGCGGGAGCTTCCAGGATCACCTTGTCGTCCACTTCGACCTCGTAGCTACAGAACAAAATGTAAGTTTAGTTTCAATCTCTTTTACAAATTGCACCCAGTGGCACAGCTGCACAGCCATGGAATGTCAGTTTAGTTTCAATGTCTTCTACAAATATTATTTGCACCTAGAAGGTATGAAAATTTCTTTCTAAAACATTAGAAGTTTTAGAGAGATAAAAGATGAACTGCAAAATCAAACTATCCAGTTTGAATTTGATAAACCATTTGCAGATTTAACCTGATTGTCAATTCGACGTGATTCATGGCGTTCTGTCCCCACCACATGCAGTCCACCAGCTGATACAACCTGCAATGGCATGGAATGAAAAGAACTGCAATTATCAATGACAAGCAAAGCAAAATCAAGGTATTCAGGAGACTAACTGACCTGCTTCCTTTCTTCCTCTGTATAGATCTTGTACTCTTTAACAATCTCCAGAAAAGCACCTCGAAGCTTGGCTATAACTTCATCCTGAGCAGGGCCCTATAGGTGCAATGATATGATAATTACCATCTAGTAGCTTAATGATGAAATAACTAACACCAAAAGCTTAAAGGAAAAACATCAGAAAAATAATGAAAGATGTGTTTGGAATCTGCTGTTTAATTCTCTGTAACGATAAATCTACAATAACAATAATGATACACTTGATTCATTATTTAACCTTCTCACAACAATAAGATAGCCGCTCCTCCCCTTCAAGCTCAGTTAATGATTTCTGGCCCCAAGTTTTGACAGCTAATTGTACAGCTTCCTCAGCCAACTTGGTATTCTCATTGGATAGTTTGCAGGGAAATAGACTTTCAGTTACCTGTAATTTGAAAATATAAGTTCCGAATAAAAATAAGATGCAAACATTATGTGGAAAAGTTTTCACATGCCAAAAGAAAAACTCGTAACCTTCCATGTCTTCTTTGGAGGGGGTTTCTTCACAGAAACAAAAACTCCTTCAGCTGGTTTTACAACTCTGAGATAACGTAATGCACATTTTAGCACGTAATAAACTTGTGCATAGTTTTCCTAAAAAACTGTCTGATTTATCCTATCCAGGGTCCCAAGAAGAATTCTAGTATATGAACTAAAATGGTCACATATATGATATAAACCCAGTTCATATTGCACATGCTGACACAACAATGTCAAGCCATAAGATTAGAGTTTAACAATTTAACCACTATGAGATGTTATGGTTACTTGTATTAAGCAGAAGGCTTCTAGAAACAAATCAGTTGCTAAGAATATCAGATGATACCTTGGCATAAGCATCTCACGTAGCTTCAATCTTGCCATAAATTCAGCATTTCCACCAAGGATGATATCAGTTCCACGGCCTGCCATGTTGGTAGCAATTGTCACTGCCCCTAGACGACCACTCTGTGCTACAATTTCTGCTTCCCTCTCCACATTCTCTGGTTTTGCATTGAGAACCTTCAGAAACACAAATACCTATTAAACTTCCTGATTGAAAGACCAATTTAGACAATATATATATTTTTTATTTTAATAATATTTATTTAAGAACCTCAGCAGTAGGAGGAACTTTATTAAAATAAAAAAAAAAAAGTAAAAATAGAAGTAAATCTGTAGGCACAGTTGTTAGTTGTAAAGTTCAATCCCCACAACTTTTATTCCTCAAGAGAAACACAACACCTCATGGGGGATTCCAGCTTCTTGCAACTGTTCTGACAGTGAGTCACTCTGCTCAACACTTGTTGTGCCAACAAGTACAGGGCGACCAGTTTTGTGCATTCTAGAAATTTCTACCACAACTGCTCGCCATTTTCCAGTAGTTGCCCTGAAAACTACATCTGACTCATCCTGAAAAAGAAATTCAAAGAGAAATGAAGGACTATAGAGGCATTGAACAATATCCGGAATTACCATGATAAGCAGAAATAATACATATACAGGCAGTATGATTTTTGGACTTCCAAATTCGAAACTGAAATATAAAATCACCCATTAATATCAATTTCCATAATGTAAATTCCTATTAATCACACCTTCCTCCCAAGAGATAACCAGAATCATTGTAAACAAGTCACATATGGGTGGCAAGCCAGAACTAACCTTTCTAACCATAGGCTTGTTTGTAGGCACAATTGTGACTTTAAGCTTGTAAATGCTTTCAAATTCTGTGCTTTCAGTCGCTGCAGTGCCAGTCATTCCACATAGTTTTGGGAACTGTTATGGTGCATATATGAGCATTGTGAAAGGGAAATAACTTTCCAGAAATGCTTGATTTCATGAGCTGAGATATAGGCTGGTACCTGGAGAAAGAAGTTCTGGTAGCTAATTGATGCAAGGGTTACAGTTTCATTTTGAATGGGTAAACCTTCCTTTGCTTCAACAGCTTGGTGAAGTCCATCACTCCATCTACGACCCTGATAGAAAAGACAAGTAACCCACCATTATGGCCAGGGCCCAATTAATTGAAAAAACAATTTCTTTATATTTCCTTAGTGCTTCAGATCTTACAAATTTTTATGCAGGGAATGCTTATGACTGATGTCAAATATGTTGTTTTTACACAAGTGGATATTCAGAATCCTTATTCAAGAAATCCTACATCCTGAATTCATGTGTTTCCATATATTCCGACGAAGTGGTGACGTGACTTTGATAAGAGTAGTTTCTGATGCCAAAATATATGGAATGAAAGAACTAATGCACTTAATAGGTACAGAGCATTATATTTCCGTTTGCTTCCGAAAGAAGGACACCTGGACAGAAGAATCACCTGCATAACTCGACCAGTAAACTCATCCACAATAAGCACCTCCTTGCCACGGATTATATAGTTAACATCTCTAAGAAACAGTTCTTTCGCTTTAATTGCATTCAGCACATAGGATGCCCACTGTTCTCGAGGATCATACAAATCTTTAACGTCTAGAATTTCTTCAGCATCCTCATAGCCCTGTTCTGTGAGTAGAATTGTTTTTTGTTTCTCTTCCACCTGCAACAACCACTTTGTAAGTATATGAAAAGACCATGTTCCATTTACCCTATTTGGATCTACGTTACTTCTACTCAGATAATATAAACTAGGAAAAGTTATTTAACCTCACAAGGAAATATAAGTTTCTATCTTACGCTACATTCACAAACCTCTTTGATCTCTAGCAGTACAATTAACAAGTGCAAGATTAAATTAGTGATGGTATTATCATGGTGATTCCTGATTTAATGACATGCATAGAAATTCCTATCTCATTTTTTCATGAGCCGCAGAATAAGAATTAGGTCAGTGATTAGTGATTACAATCATATCCACATGTTAACTCAAAATGATACTTGCAGAGCTCTAAATAAGCATCATAAAGCAGACCTCTAAATAAGCTTATACTTGTGCAGTGTAACAATCAGACTCATAAAAGAACCACACTAGCAGGCATTAAAAGAAGAGCTAAATTAAATTCAAAAGTTTCCATAGGGAAAAAAAAAAAGGAAAAAGACAATATAGCAGCCTTACAGTGTAATGTATTTCTCGTTCAAAAACTGAGGCTATTTTAGCAGCTTTATAATATCGATCACTAGGTTTTTCTGCTGGTCCTGATATGATGAGAGGGGTTCTTGCTTCATCAATAAGGATGGAATCAACCTCATCAATGATACAGTAATTAAAATTCCTTAAGACAAGCTCCTCAACACTCTGTACATGCCAGAAAATACATTCAACTAGGTAAGAAATGCAATAGAAGTTCTTATGTGTCTGTAAGCACTATAACATGATAGTGAATATAACCAGCAGATAAAGCAAGAATTACTTTCCGTGGCAAGATTGTCTCTCAAGTAATCAAAACCAAGCTCACTATTAGTGACATAAGTGATGTCACATAAGTAATTTTCCCTTCTTTGCTCACTAGTCATGTTCTCTGCCAACAAAACCATCTAGTGGTTAGATTATAATGGTGATAAAAATAAAAATAATAATAATAATAATAAATAAAATAAAATATAAGATATATACGGTTTAACAACTCAATTACTCAATTACTCAATGACTACCAGGTAACATGAGAATGAGAATGAGATAAATGGATAAACTTTATCACAACCAATCTCCAATTTCTCAGACCAAGCATCCATCCAATCAAATAAGAAGAAATAGGAGGATATGGAGTAGAAGAAACACAAAAGAAGGAGACATACGTTGGATTAAGCCAACCTTCAATCCAAGAAATCGAGGAACCTGACCAACCCACTCACAATCACGTCGGGCCAGATAATCATTGACGGTAACAACATGAACACCTTTCCCATTTAATGCATTCAAATAAGCAGGCAAAATAGCAACAAGGGTCTTTCCTTCTCCGGTCCTCATTTCAGCTATTTCTCCCTTATGAAGAACCATGCCACCTACATGAAATTATAATTCATAGATAAAGGAGCGGAGTTAATACAAGTAAATTCCCAACCCACTAAATACATAGCCCTGATCAATTGTATCACTTTAAATTGGAATAGAAAATAAAAAATAGTAATATTACCTATGAGTTGCACATCAAAGGGACGCAGACCCAAAACCCTCTTTGAAGCCTCTCTGATAACAGCAAAAGCTTCCTGCCAATTAACCAGTTAATTGACTGTAAAAAAAAAATAATAAAAAAAAAAATAATATGAATATTAGAAAGCGTACAGGTAAAAGAGAATCGAGAGACTCTCCTTGCTGAGCTCGTTCCTTCAACATGGAAGTCTTGTCTCTTAGTTGGGAATCAGATAACGATAACATTTCGGCTTCCAATTTATTAATGATAGAGACAGTGGGTGCACACTGCTGGCGAGTGGACTCACCAGTATCGGTACCTTTGAAAATTCCTCCTAATAAGCCTCCAAGTGAAGCTTTTACCTTTACAGGTATCCGCCTACTTCTGTTACAAGTCCATTTCGATGTTTTAGGTACGGATAAGGGGGAAGGCTTACCCAGGTGGGAGTTAAGGGAATTATTTTTGTTGGATTTGGAAGAGAAAGATGAGAGTGAAGGGTGATAGCCATTCAGCAAAACTGAGTCGCATAGAGGTGCCGCCATGGTTATGATTAAAACCGATAAAAAATCATTTACGACTACTTCTATTGTGGCTGCTCTGCCATTTTCGAAATGAATCCAATAAGTGAAGAAGAAGAAGAAGAAGAAGAAGAGGAAGAAGAAGGGAGAAACAGGCAATTAGGACGTTGGGATAAGGTAACACCTCCCTCGTTTACTTACGTGGACAAGTGGCTCATGTTTAGAGAATCTAACGGTATTACACTTTTCAATATTTCATTGGAAAATAATCCAATCTTTTATTTAAATCATCAAACACGGATTTTTAAATGAATAATGCTTTTATTATCAATTAATATTAATTAACGATTAAAATTTTATTACATCATCGATATAAGGTTTAATACGCAATTTTCGATAACTCTACCATTTCCGTTTTTAAATATATTCAATCTACACAACATAGAATTCATAATTTAACAATTTTCAAATATCAGTTCCTAGTTCCTACAATTGATTTGGGCTTCAAACAAATCAGAAAGCACTAAACTCAATACATATAAACCGAAATTGTTTATAAACCGAAATAAACCGAAATTACCCCACTAACTCAGTTTAATTAGTAATTTTGTATACTTAAATTGAGATTCAAATTCATAATAAAAATTATTAATTATCAATCCTACAGATAATCATTTCCAAATTTTTGAATCAAGTTCATCAGATTTTAATAAATCCATGATAGACTTAACTTAAGAACTGCATATCGTACTCATGATCGGAATTCCAAATAACCGAAAAGTAGCCCATTGAAACTATCCAAAACTTCTATATAATCAAAATAATTACAAACTAAAAAAGAAGAACGTTGTCCCACATATTCCAACAATTTTATAACAAAAAACTATAATCTATCCTCTCGCAATTCCTGCTGTTTGATGGAGCTGCAGAAATCACAAAACATAGACAAAATGCAGTGTCGACAGAACTTGACTTCAGACTCTAGTAACTTCTGCCCCAGTAGGTCCATTTTGTTGCAGGCTTCCCGGAGGCAAAGCATTTAGTACCTACAAAAAAATAAAAAATAAAAAATAAAAATAAAAAAAAAATTAGGACGAAAATATCAGAGAACAATTCATATCCATAACCAAACACAACAGATTGAAACAAGTAGATCGTACCTTCGGGCATTTCAGGCTGCTCCAGTGGGGAACAAAGGCTCTTGGCTGCTCCCATCTCACCCTTAGTTCGTGCTTTCACATCTTTTTCCACCTCCTGTAGAAAATCAACAGATAAATATAAAAGGTTGTGAGAAAAGGATAATACAGTCCAAAAACTTAATTCCAAAAGCCAATTGAATCTTTCATTAACATACCTCCTCATCACACCAAGGAGCTAAGATTAATTTTTTTTGGCTAACAGCCACCACAAATTCATCCCAAGTTTTTACAATTTGAATGCAAGCATCTCGTTTTTGTTTTGCAGCATTAAACAAGCTATCTTGAATATTCTCAATAAGTTCTTCTACTTTCTTAAGCAAACAGTCCCTGGGCAGATCAACTTTTGCTCCATTGTCACGTCGCACAGCACGTACCTATGGATAAAATCAATGTACACATCATTTTCTAGTTAATCAAACATACCATAAATACAGAGGATAACGTATGCAACAAAATCAGGAAATAATTGAAACCAAAGAAAGTGTTGGCAGCATAAAAAAATAATAATTAGACTAAATTGTTATAACCTGATTGTTTGCCAAGTCTTTTGGCCCTATTTCAATCCTGAGAGGAACACCTCTCATTTCCCAGTGTGAGTACTTCCATCCAGGAGAGTAGTTGTCTCTCAAGTCTGCACTAGCACGAATACCTGCTTCACACAAGGTTTCAACAGTGGCATTGCAGGCATCAAAAATTCCTTGAGTATCAGCATCTTTGTAAGGCACAGGAATCACAATAACTTGCACAGAAGCCACTTTAGGCGGCAGCACCAAGCCTTTATCATCCCCATGAACCATCACCATTACACCGATCTGTGGAAATATTGCACACAAAAGAAAAATGTTAAGTGGTAATCTGGTGGTAGAAAAAGACTGCACTATTATGCTTTGAACAATATTTCACAACAAATTCATGATTGTATTGAAAAGTAAATAGAGACCAACCCAGAAAAAATAAAAAATGAAAGGAACATATGGAATATTATATTTACTTCTTTTAGGGGAATCAAACCACCAAAAAATAATAAGATGATAGAAAAGACCTTAATATTTCATATTTTCCTACTGCAAAGAAATGCACTGAGATTAAGTGACAATTATTCAACTCAAATGATTAACGGATATCAAAAGCTTACTGTACGGGTACTGTAAGCCCAGGAGTTCTGCCAGACCATAGCCTTCTCTCCCTTCTCATTTTCAAAGTTTATTTCAAACATTTTTGAAAAGTTTTGGCCCAAACAATGTGAAGTTGCACCTTGTACACCACGACCAGTATTTGGAATAAATGCCTGACACAGAGAACACACAGCATTCTCAGTTCAGATAAAACATTGATCATCACATAGCAGTTTGACCATGTCATATCTTGCTAAGCAACTAAGCAAGATAGTCAAAGCATGGACATCAGTTAATAACCTCGACACTTGTTGTGTAAAGCCCACCGGCAAACTTCTCTAGCTCACTCTTCTTGCCTTTTATAACAGGAATGGCCAAGAATTCCTCGTAAATACGTCTGTAGAGCTCCAATATATCAAGGACCTGAAAATGGCAACAGTTAAGTACCATCAGATAAAACTATATGTTAATGACTCTAAGACCCACAAAAAGAGAGCAGGAGAAGTAGCCATGCTGTTCAACATATAATGCAGGTTAAAATGTAACCAGCTTATCCATTGTGATAATTGTTAGTACATGAACATAGGCACACCAGAAATATGATGGTAAGACAAACATTTACAAAAGAATCCATCCTTAGAGAATACAAATAATCTTTATACTATAGATTCATTAGTTCTTAAAGCTTCAAAAAAAAAAAGTTCCCCGAGTATGCTCTTTGAATATATGTTTCCAAACAAAGTCAAACCCCAAATAAGGTAAGATTCCACCAATCTTATCTTCTTTATCGGAATTCATTCCTAAACCTCCTTTTTCACTCCAGCAAATAAATTAGAAGTATTAAATTCAATTTTAGTTAATCAACTAACATGAGAAGTCAAGAGCAACATCCCAATGTGGCAAGAAAGTAAAATCATTATGAAACAAGCATGCATTGTTCTCTTACATAAGAGGAGCTCATTAAAGAGATATATTGAACAAATTGTACTGCCCTTAAGACAAAAAATTTTAAAGTCCAAATACCTCTGCATCTGCTTCCTCCTTTGTTGCAAAAGCAGTATGCCCTTCCTGCCAGAGAAATTCACGACTCCTACAACATAAAAATAAATAAATTACTTAACCAATTTAGATATTTTTTTAATCAGAAGTTTTATATATTGTCACTGAACTACTATATTCTTAAAGGCTTGATCAGATCCAATTTACACCAAAAAGAAAAGAAAAGGAAAAAAAAATGTTCCCAGAAGATGGTGTAAATAAATTGCAAGATTGTTCTGCGTATCAAAAAGAATAAATAAACCTATAAATTGCATGATTGATAACTATTAAAAATCTTCCATCAAAAAGAAAACCAAACATAGTTTTGTTTCCAGCAAAAACAAACAGAAAAATATTGCCATCAAAACACGAGGCTTTATATCAACAGCACTAACTTGGAATAGAGGGAGCTTTTACAGTAACGTATTTAAGCCAACTAAATTCCATAGTCTCATCATAACTACAGAACATAATTTGTAGCATGGAGAAAATCAAATTGAATACAGAATATCAGAAATTAACATGTCAATAAAAACTAACCTGATAAACGGCGTAGGATTGCTGAACTCCCATCGAACAACATTGCACCACTGGTTCAGTTTCAAAGGCAAGTCACGGTGTCCCCTTATCCACTTAGAATAGTAGGGATACATCACTGTTTCACTAGTTGGGCGGATTGCAATAGGAACCTCCAAATCAGATTCCCCTGATTTCGTCACCCAAGCAACCTGAGAACACCCCAAGAACCCAGTGTTGGTACTTATTGCCTTCGTTAAATTTCACTTTATGCCCAACTTTGTACTTAAAACAAATCATTAAGTAAGTTCCACACTCAAAACAAACAAGATATATATGTTTACACCCTTGATCATTTCTCCAAGAGCAGAAAATTCAGGGATTTCAGAAAAATCTCCCTGAAGCAAGTGTCATTAATCATCCATGTTAATTGAAGTGAATCCTTTTCAAAAGAGAACCAATTATTTTACAGGGGCTTCGCAGTCATAAAAAGAGGAATAAAAACATACAAAAATAACAAAATTCCACTCAGGGTGGGTAAATAATTTTTTTTTTTAAATAATAATGAAAATGTAACAAGCCCATTGTGACAAAAGACCTCAAATCTTACCTCTGGAGCAAAACCTTCTATGTGATCCGTCTCCTTTTGTAGTACAGTAGGGGATACAAAGAGAGGAAAGTAACAATTCTGAATCTTCATTTTTTTTATTTCTGGATCAAAAAAACTCTGCCCATTGACAGCAATAATAAGCACTAATATAGAAGTCCAATTTGGAAAGCAGGACGAAATCAAAACAAAAAGAGGACCAACCACATAACAATAGCCAGCAGTAACAGTAAACTAATATTAAACATGGTGCCCCAACTAAATCAAAATTTTTTAAAATAAGAAGTGCCTATCTTAAAGAATAAGCATGATATAAATATAAAGTAAATATCTAAAATGAATTTCAAACTCACCTGCATTGTCTCCCAAATCGACATTGCCCAAGGCCTTATAATATAGCAACCAGAGATGTCATAGTACTCAATCATTTCACCATTGACAATAACCTATGCAAATTGTAAAAGCAGTACAATAAGATCTGAGTTCAAATGTCCTTTATGTATCATTAGATATCAGTACAAAACTCACTAGGCAGCGAAAGGACTAAATTATGTAACTCCAAATGTAGAAAATATTTGATAATCAATCATCTCATAAGTAGCCATCTCCACTTCCGAAGATCTGACTATGTGAAACAAAATTCTTACATGTGCCAAAATGATATATTAATCATATATTAAACATGTAAGCATGCTTGTGTACAATTACTAAAAGAACCCGAAGAAAATAATTGAACAACCTCAGAATACCACTCCCCAAAGTTCTCATCTTTCTTATGTGAGAGTCCTAAACCAGTCTCCTTCTTCACCTCCTTCTTCTTCCCTCCTGGAATCGTCAAGAACATGAAATTAGGAGCACTAACATTAGTATGCACATCAGATGTATAATTGTAATACTCACCACTGGTCGCCTTAGCTTTAGGCTCCTTAGCTTTAGTCTCCTTAGCTTTAGTCTCCTTAGCTTTAGACTGTTTCTCCTCACTGCCAGCCATATCCTTCAATAAACCCTGAACACAATATCCACACAATACATGGATCAAAAAACTTAACTAGAGATTGAAGCCCCAAAACAGAAGGAAGATGGTGCCAAAAAAAAAAAAAAAAGCATCAATAAACAGGTAGCCAGTTAATAACAAGTTAACTGCCAGACATTAGATTTTGCGTACCCAATTAACAAAGACCCAGATTAAATTTCAAAAATCAATAATAACTGAATAGATATTTCATAAAAACAAAACAAGAAACACACAACTTAATTCCGAGTACATGACCCAGCAAGTACAAGACCCAAAATTCAAACACAAGAGAACTTAAATTTCGGCACTGAATCAATAATGACAGGTAAATAATCAAAATCAACTTTCAATACAGATAGAAATGTTACTTATCGAAAAAAGAATTAAATATAGATAGTCAACCACAATAAAAACTAAAATGGGGTCGAATATTACAAGGGTTTAACTAAATCAACACAAACTAAAGACATTAATATATTCGTTCGATGAGTTACTTACAAAAAATAAGATTAATCTTCCACGCAACACTATAACTTAAAATGCATTATACCCTTGACACTTATCTAAAAGAAAAACAAAAATTCAATAGCCTCCACTGGAGTACTCGCAAAACAAATTACCGATGAGAAAGTGAGAAATTACCGTTCGGATCTGATTATTCAACGGAGGCTTTTTCCCTTACTCTTCAGAAAAAAGATAAGAGAAACTCTCCCACAATATGAACGTTATGTGAAAATCAAAGCAAAAGCGAGACCTATATATACGCACGTGAAATATAAACCCTAGACCTGCGCAAGTAACTAATTCTTTGTCTTTAATAATTTTTCTTTTCTTATTGATAAAAAATTAAATAATATTATTGAAGACTTTGGAGTGGTGGAAAAGTAGTGGCTGTTTTGGGTCAAAACCGCGGGTCCATGGGTCGGGTATTTACTAGTAGCGGGCGGGTTAATTCTTTGGAATCACCTCATGACAGTTGAAACTTGAAATCTAATTCGTATTCTGTTGTAGAATTCGATTCCTCTTTTGGAAGCTACCAAGAATTTTCACTTTGGTGCTGTAGAATTCGATTCCTCTTTTGGAAGCTACCAAGAATTTTCACTTTGGCAAAGTGCTTTAGATGGGTTTCGCATTTTTATTATGCGTATGGTTTAATAGTGATGATTATGTAAATGGTATGACGTAAGTATACAACAGAAACGAATTGCTAAGATTTATATTAGAGACAGCAACCATAACATCTATGTCCATGCTAATTTTTTTTTTTTTTTGGTAAGCAAGATATCCGAGTAAGTTTACGTGCACTTCAAACTAATCCTTAAATTCATTGAACACCCTATAAGCTCAAAAGATAAACCATTATGTTATTATGGTAAATACACTTCAAATTAATTCCTAGGTCTATTGAACACCCTACACACTCAAAGGATAAACTACGTATGCGTTTGGTTTAATATTTTTATCCCTATTCTGGATCCTATTTTTCAAATAGCGTTTGGTACAATATTCTCAAAATATTACCCTATTTTTTTTAATTACATTTTAACCCCATAAGGTTATTAATTTCACTAAATACCCCCTGGAAAAAAAGTTTAAAAATTAACAAAAACACCCCCATTAACCCAACTTGTCAGATTCCGGCAACCACCGTCGGTGATAGCCGGAATCTGTACAACGGCCAAACTTCCGACCAGAAATGGCCGGAAGTTCACCGCTGTGGCCTTTTCCGGCCAGATCCACCACGGATCTGGCCGGAAAAGGCCAGATCTGGCCGTCAGCGACGGCCAAAGAAATGGCCGTCGTTGACGGTCAACGACGGCCAAATCTTGGCCGTCGTTGACCGAAAACGACGGCCACATCTTTGGCCGTCCTCTGACGGCCAAAGATGGCCGTCGTTTGGCCTTTTCGGCAAACGACGGCCATAACAAACCGTAGATCTGGCCTTTTCCGGCCAGATCCACAGGATCTAGCCGGAAAAGGCCATAACGACGTGTTACGGCAACGATCCGACAAGTCTGTGCCGTAACGAATTTTCCGGCCAGATTCCGGCGGTGGTGGCCGAATCTGACAGTGCAGGTGGTGGGGGTGTTTTTGTCATTTTCATGTTAGGGTCTTTAGTTAAATTAGTAAAACTAAGGGCTTTTTTATAAATTTTTAAAATTTACCTCGTAATACTCCCATATCCAATAACCCATACTACCCTTAAAATCCTATCCAAATACTAAACCAAACGCACCCACAATGTTACTATCGTAAATGAACCTAAAGTTTGAACCTAATAACTAAAAGAAATAAACAAGCCTCTTAACCGTCAGGCCAACTCCTTGCGTTTGACTGACATTCTCTTTTGATTCAATATTCCACTTCCACACCACTTTATAATATTCCTTTTGGTCATCACAAATTGCACATAACAGCCCAATCACTGACTTGGCCAGACGGATAGCAGAATTAATTCAAGCACCTACTAGTGGTAAATAAAAATTGAACTAGAGCCACTTCTGCTATTTTACAATTACACCCTCGATTGCATTTGCACCAATCTGACTAGAAGGAGAAAAAACAATTCACTGACGCTGGGCTTGGAGATCTTATTGCTGTGCTAAAGCATTCAACTAAGAAACATATGTGATGAACCAATTTCAAACTTTTTGAGTTATGGTCAGATATAAAATGTTCTTTAAAAAAATCGAAGAGAAAGAAAAGGTGAGATGTATCCATAGACGTATCAAAATTACATTCTTTACCAGGGGACAAAAAAAGGAAAGAACAGGAGACAACAGATTTGCATCGTCATTGTAATGCAGCTCCCCAATTCCTTCTTGCAGGAACATCAGCCACCAAATTTACACCCTTAGCTTGGTTCTGGTGGCACCAGTCTCAAACTTCGCATCCACTCACAGAAGCTAGGATCATCAAAAAAAGAAAACTGCTTTTCAGCTTTGTCCGCTGTTCCGTCGTTAAAGATCGAAGCTGTGGAAACCTTGCCTCCTACAATGAAGTAATGTGTTTTGAGTGAGCAAACAGCTAATGTAGCCCGCAAGTAACAACTGAAATTAAAATCAGAGTACAAAACATGTCCCTATTTCAATACTTTTAAGTTTTTCCCACTCACCTGCTCATCGGAGGATCCTTGTGTGCTGGAATCAGCCGAGATACAAAATACCGGCTGGGAACTCCCTTCCTGCTCAAAATCAACCATTAATCTTAAAACCTTTGATGACAACCAAATGATGGAGGAAAATTCATAGTATAGGACTGTGAAGGAAAAAAAACCTTGAATGCAATTCGAGGAGCTGGAAACCTAGATTCAGTAGTCTTCAGCCAATGTTCTGCAAGCTGCTAAAGCGGCTGCACTTCTTCCTCATCAGCAGCAAGTTCAGCACCTGAATCACCAATAAATGGGTCGATGTTCATTAGAAAGTGAAAGTAGTAAAGAGAAAAGCAAGGAAAAAGATAAAGAGAAACTTTTCCAACCAGGAAACACAGGAAATTGAGGATTTTGATAAACAAATAGCAGATATAAAGAAAAAATGATTCCAAGAAAGCAAGAAAATTGAGTTAAGCGACATACCAACCAAATAAAGACATCTGCCATGGTCAAGAACTACTGCTTGTCAGATTGCATAGCTAGGTCATGAGCCGGAACCTCCTCAAAGTGCCTCCTTCCCGGTGCATTAAACAGCGAGGTGCGACCATCGAAGTGACAGCTCAAAAGATGCATTCAGAAACAAACTTCGTAATACAGACCTCTCATCCTCATGTCCAATAATGCTTCCTAAAAGTGGGCCCCTTCTTAGATGAAATAAGATCTCTGATAGAGCAGAAAGTTCTTTGGGAACCGATAAAGCTTTGACTTTGGTACTTGGGATCCAAATTTTAGAGCTACGTCTTTAACTCTTTCATCAATTGTCGTTCGCATATCAATTGCATCAGAGTGATTTTTGGCTCGCAAGAGGGTCCTCTGGCAATGAGGACCGCAACCACTTCATCTTGAACACTCTCAAGATATGCTGAAACATTATCCACAGTGGGCAATCTGACAGTAACAACTCTTGAAAATCAGCTTGATAAACATTTGAATATTGAATAGCAAACTGGAAAATACATGATCATCTTGATGTCTCCTTTATTTTCCATGGATACAGCAAAGCTTTGCGTTTCTCAACACTTAGCATTTGAATAGAAAGAGCAGTATCATTTTTAAAGGTTTCATGAGTGTCTAAAGTGCCTCTTCACCAGGACCCACAACTTGAGTTACGAGAATATCATCAGAACAACGAATCTCCAGCAAACCATGAGAACTGCAGCCCTTGTGGATGCCCTTTGCAAGTACACCAAAGGCTTCTCCAAAGTCATCATGAAGAACCAACACACCCCCTGAAGCTTTTGCAAGAGCTGCAACACAGGAACTCTAACGGGCAAGTTCCAGCACATAGAATGTCAATCACTGTATTGTGTCGATGAGCCCACGACCAGAGCTCCATCCATTTCAATGCTGTCTTTTCCATATGAGGATAATTTGGGTGAGTAAAAGAATGAGGAACTGATCCAGGGCCATATGTATTAGGTCCACCAGCACACACAATAATTCTGATTACCTCCTGCCCTTTTAACTACCCCCCGAGACATTTCTGCTGTTGGCCCCGAATAATAGAAAGGGCAACCTCAACTGCTGTACCCAGGCAACGATCTCTTGAAGCTTCTGGGATGTTTAACTTGTATGGCCTTAGTGATGAGAATATGTCATGTGCTACCTGTTTTGAAGCAGCATTGGTGATAGATAAACACCAGCTCCATAAAGCAATGCTTTCAACGACTCCTGAGTTGGTGATTTGTCACCAGGAAGCACTCAGCAGATGCTATTGAATCTCTGAAAAATCATAAACTGATACTGTCCTACCATACAATATAATGCCAATTCTTGCCGTTGGTGAATTGATTCAACAAATGCGTGCAAAGAGCTCTGTAGATGCTGCAGGTGAGGTTCATCTAAGCATTCATCTATTACAAGAATAATGGGTGCAGACATTCTGGAATCAGAAACAGGAACATAACTGGCCTATTGTCCAGTTTGAACATAACAACCATAGCGATGACAATTCCGGAAAATTACGAAGTTCTTCCTTGCTAGAGCCACTATTCACCTTCACTTCCATTCAGATTATGGCAAACTACACACTGCCACTGGCCAGATCCAAGTATTATCTTGCATAGATGTTTGCATATGCTCCGCAATCAGGCAGCGATGAGGATCACGTTGTATTATTTGAGGACCTGGAGAAACCTCTCCCCAGGAGAAACCAGTGCCCCAAAACCTAAACTGGGTACATTTGCTTGTTTCTTCTGTTTCAACACCTACAGAAACAAAATGAATGTGAATGTAATGAAATATGAAAACACGTAACATTCATGATTTAACAATGCAAATAGTAGAGAACTACAGCAACGTCAGTTCATGATGAATAAGGGTGCCTTTGCAATGAATCAGAGAGAAAGAGGGGTACCTTACGAGCTGAAATCAGAACACACACATGAAGATTCCCCATAAGGTGATGTCTCCTCAATAACATCTGGAACTTGGTGCTGCAACTCAGCTGACCCATTAGAGAAATGGGGAGGTGAAGATGTGGGCAAAGATGAACCTGAAGAGAAAGCGACAGGCTGCGGAGTTGCAGGAGATGTCCGGAAAGGCACAGCAGCGGGCCTAACTGGTGAAGTAAAGACAGGAGGGCCAGGAGGAGTGCTTAAATGAGGAATTGGGCTTCCACTGTTGACCCCATTTGCAGGTGACAACATATTTGGGGTTCTAATTGAAGGGGAAGCGATTGGGTCATGTTGTAATTTTGGTGGAGGAAATCTGGGGGGTGCAGATGAAATTGGAGGACGAGGGATAGGGGTTTTCTCTGTTTGAGGTGATGGTGTATCTGGGTTTGGCGAAGTGGCAGTAAAAGAGTATCCAACGGAAGGTTGAGTTGGATTGGCCATTAAAATTCAAATCTTTCTTTATTAAGTAACAACAATTCTCAAGAACTGAGAATCGAGTACCAGAATTAAAGAATGAGTTTAAATCTAAAAGGGAAATTTCGGTACGAATTTAATTTAGATATGATGATAAACAACAAATTCCTGAAGAACAAGAATTGCAGAGAGAGTAAGATATCTTATGTCTTTGATTAACCAAACCCTTAACAAAATCTAAACCCCAGAGACAACAAAATAAAAAGAATGGCTTTTGATTGAAACAAAGTTCAAGAAGTGCCCGGAATAATCAAGAACTCCATAAAGAGCACCAAAAAATCAGCTTCCAAGATCAAATTTAGTCCCAGTTGACGACATTTAAAGTCTCACCTATCTCCCCATCTCCACACAATTGTGGCGTTGGTAAAAACTCCTTCTCTAACAATTAAATCTAAGAAAAAGAAAAGGAAAAAGAATAGCACTTAGGAATGAATAAAGGATCTGTGATTAGAATGAATAAATAATAAAAATTTGGGTAGAATTGAAAGATCACATACCTGAAAGAGACGGAAACGGATGATTCAGAAACAGGGGAATTTTCAGACCCAAAATGAGTGTCATGCGACTCTTTTAACGAGGTTTCTCTCTTGACTCTTAACTCTGTAATTTTGGACCTTTGGTGTCTATGGACCTTAAGTTGCACATGCGGTAACACCTCAAGTTTTGCGGTTCGTCTTTTTGTTTCACTCAGCTGGACCTGCTTTGCTGGCACGCTCTCCACTTTTGATTGGCAATTTATAATGTTGCCAACACAATATTTCTGACGTGGACAGCTGAATCAATCACACTGCCAGTGCCAAAGTTTTTTTTCCCTTCTTCTTCTAACTATTCATAGATTTTTCATTTTTCTATTTCAGGAATAAGAGGATTTTAACTCCATCAATAATAAATAATAGGATTTCTAAGATAATGGATTGTCAGAATTATTTCAAAATAGTCTTAAAGAATTTGATATCTAAACAGATAAATACCTAATTTGATATTTTGCTGAATATTTTAAATAAATAATTCATGAATATTTCTCAAACTTTTTTATTTGGGTCATTCAATGGAGTTTGTAGAGTTTTTAATGGGTTTCGAAAATTAATTGAAATACACGTAAATTAGTCGAAACGTTCTAATTATAAAAAAAAAACTAATAATAATAAATAAAGCACTTTTAACTTACTAATTACTGGGGAAGAAGTAATTTTAGAAGGTTAACAAAATGAGGAAATTAGATTTCACTTATGTTACTACTATTACAAACTTTTTTGTGTGCAGCTCGGAGGAGCAAAACAATTCACGATGTTGTCTTCTTGGTGTACTCAGTGTCCAAATTGGTTAATTGGATGTCATAGCCTTGATATTACAATACTGAGTGAGGTAACATTACCTCATAAGATAGAGAAACCCATTTTCGTAGCGACTAATTTTCATAAATGTTACTCAACGCTGAACAAACTTAAGCTCCAAAAATTTGGACTCATATAACTTTGCATAAGGTATAGGGAATTGGGTTATAAACAACTACTGAAAGCGATCAATGACATCCTGCTCAAAATTTCCAACTTAAAAATACAGGAACAATTATTAAACATTATATGGAGTTTGAAGGTGCAACGAGAGCCACGGGGAGCTTAACGTTTTATTAAAGGTGGTACTATATTTCCAAGAACAATACCCATTGCTAGTGCTATCTTCAACTCACATGAGATGCAGGTAATGCTTTTCGCAGCCTGATGATACAGAAAAAAACTAGTAATTAACCATATCTGCATGCAAGTTACAGAAGAACAGAGTTTTTTTCATTCACTTTAAAATTCAAACATAAATATCATAGTTTTTAGTGTCAAAATCATACATCAATTAAGAGACGGGGGGTTTTGATCATTTATATATCACAAAGATACCCTCACCGCTTAGAAATATTTTTTCAAGATAAAATCGTGCAAACTCCAAACCTAAAACATGAGTGCATTTCTATTTCAAATAGTCATATAAAAAACTCCACTTATAAAGCCATCATAAGTGCATTTCTATTTCAAATAGTCATATAAAACTCTACTTATAAAGCTATCACGCTAACAAGAGACTGATCTTTTGATGTAGCGTAAATAGTGTTAAATTAGGATTTAATTTAGTTTCCCTTTCTTTATTTGATTAAGGTTTCATATTAGAAACAGAAGTGGTTTTCTAATTTAATTAGGATTTAGGAGTTTAGTTGATTTAGGAAGATTTAATTTAGTTAAATTTTACTTTCTTATTTTATAATTAGTCAACAGTTGAGATTTCTTGTTTTAATTAGTTTTAGTGTCTAAGTAGGATTTTATTTCCTTGTTTAATTAGAGTTTTGTTAGGGTTGGTTGTAACCATCATGTATAAACATATTATTCGTTTCTTTTGAAGATATAAAATATAAAATGAATCATTCAAATTTTATTTCGGATTTTAAGGTTTAAGTTTTTGTAATTGAGACTTATTATCAATTCTAAAGGTATAGTTGAGTGCTAGCCTTGTTTATTTACACTAACTCATTGCGTCAATTGGTATCAAAGTAGGCAAAATTAGTCTGATCTAATGGCATGTGATGAAGTTGTAGGTGGTGGCAGTTCTCATGGTGAAGATTAGTGAATTGAGACCTCGCAAGGGGTGGAGTTGACAGCTTTGGAGCAACGAATGGATCTCAAATTATAGCATTTGGAACGACGCTTTGAAGAAATTGCAGATTAACTTGATGCTTTGAGCGAAGATGCCAACAGAAATCGAAATGACGAGAGGCAACGTACTGGAGATGATGTGGCTCGTGGACAACCTATCGGCAAACTAGTTTTTGCAAACAGGCGTAGATAGCAAGTCTACGTGAAAGATTTGGACGAAAAAGATGATTACTTTGCAAGTTTTGGGAGGCACGCTAGATATGGACGAAATGATTGTAGGGGTAGAGATACCAACGAATTCAAATTAAACATAGATATTCTTTGCTTTAATGGTAATTTAAATATTGAAGACTTTCTGGATTGGATGACAGGTTTTTCGAATATATGGGGATTCCAGAAGGAAGAAGGGTGAGACTTGTTGCATGCAAATTGAAGGGTGAGCTTCTGTATGGTGGGAAAGATTACAATCCATAAGATTTGGCAAAGGGAAAACACCAGTTAGAACTTGGTACAGGATGAAACAGTTGTTACAAAGGGATTTTCTTCCTCCTAATTATGAGCGAATCTTGTTCCAATAGTACTAGGTCAGAGATCTGTCCGAAAATATATTACTGAATATTGACGTTTGTTACTCCACCTTGACTATAATGAACGTCCATATAGAGTTGCTTTAAGATTCTTTAATGGGTTGAATGTAAACATACGAGCTCACATTGATTTACGATCCAACCATACATTGTTTGATGTTTTCAGTTAGCCTTTGACGTAGAATCATAATTAAGAATTTAAAAAAAAATATATATCTTTTTAAGAGAATACATGCCTCACCAATTATGGAAGAAAACAAGAAGCATAAAACATTTCCTAAAGAAATTCTTAATGCCAATGAAGATCGTGAGATGTTACAAATTGAGGATCACACATCAAATGAGATTGAACATGAAGTAGACGTTGAAGTTGAACGAGTTCTCCAAGAAGAGAAGATTGAACAAGAGCAAAAACAAACTATCCTAAAAGAGAAGCTTGAGCAAAAGCAAATTGTCTTAAAGGAGAAACTTGAGCAAGAAAACACATTCAAGTTAAGGATCAAAACGATGAAACATCGACGACATTTGATTTCGACTTGAAGACTACAATGTGTGACAACTCTCCTAGGAAGATCAATGACAAAACATATTTAAGAGGGGGAGTATAATGTAAGGAAAATAGTGTTAAATTAAAAAGTTTAGTTGATTTATGAAGTTTTAATTTAGCTAAATTTTATTTTCTTATTTTATAATTAGTAAACAGTTGAGATTTCTTATTTTAATTAGTTTTTATGTTTAAGTAAGATTTTATTTCATTGTTTAATTAGAGTCTTATTAGAGTTGACTGTAATCACCCTATATAAACATATTATTTGTTTCTTTCAAAGATATAGAATACTCAATTAATTATTCAAATTTTATTTTAAATTTTAAGATTTAAGTTTCAATGATTGAGACTTGGTATTAGTTCTAAAGGTGTAATTGAGTATTAACCTTATTTAATTGCGCGAACCGCTGCATCATCTTTAATTATCTCGGGGAGATGGAGCCTTAGCAATCAATTAGCTTGAAGTACTACACAATAAGAAGTGGCATGACCATCAAAAGCAATCAAATAGTTCCTTAAAGTCAATTCATACACTGTCCATCGTAAACTAAACATTAACTGAATTTTCAAATCAAACCATACAAAAACATTAAAGAAATTTTCTCAATTAGGGTTTTGTTGGGAAAATTTGAGTTTAGTGACAGAGGTAGACAATAATTTTTCAATAAAATGTAAAATACATATCTATGATTCTCTTGATTTTTTTATTTTTTAGAAAATCCAAAACCATTATAATTTTTTTTTTTTTAAATCATCAAAATATTTAGATGTCACGAACGCTATATAAACTCTTAACAATCTAAACACACAGTTTAATAATTGGTAGTTTTATATTTAATGGGAAAAACACATTCAGTATAAAGACGTCAGTGTGTCTAAAGTAATCACGATACACGGTGTAATTTTATCCCTGCTACTAAATCCGACGTTTGTAATAAAATGATGTATACAAGTACCATCTCCAGCCAACGATAACGATGCATTTCACTCACTCCAACACACACGCACAGCGCCACTGCAGATAATTATCCCTAGACTGTGAAATCATGCTTTCCTGGTTTCAAAAACCCTAACTGGTTACAATTCAGATATGGACCAAGAAGAATCTCGAAACGGTGATTTCGCTCACTACAACGACCACCACGTCTCCAAGAAACCCAAACTCACCCGCTTCATATCCGAACCCGAAATCCGCGACGAATTCTCGCACCACCGGTCCGGCATCGCCCGTATTAACAACGGCAGCTTCGGGAGCTGTCCCAAGTCCGTGCTAGCCGCGCAGCAAAATTGGCAACTGAAGTTCCTCCAACAGCCTGATGATTTCTACTTCAACACTCTCCGCAAGGGAATATTACACTCCCGTACCCTCATCAAAGACCTCGTTAACGCTGATGACGTGGATGAAATCTCCCTTGTCGATAATGCTACTACCGCTGCCGCCATCGTCCTCCAACAAATTGGACGCGGCTTTGGTGAAGGGAAGTTCAATGGAAACGACACCGTTGTAATGCTCCACTGCGCATTCCAGGCCGTCAAGAAATCTATCCAAGCTTATGTCACGCGTGCTGGTGGCTCAGTTATCGAAGTTCAGTTACCATTTCCGCTGATTTCGGAGGAAGAAATTATCAGAGAATTTAAGAAAGGGTTAGAAAAGGGTAAAGAGAACGGTAAAAAAGTTCGGTTAGCGATAATTGATCATATTACGTCAATGCCATGTGTTGTGATTCCTGTTAGTAAATTGGTTAAAATTTGTAGAGAGGAAGGTGTTGAACAGGTTTTTGTAGATGCGGCACATGCTATAGGTAGTGTTAAAATTGATGTTAAAGAAATTGGAGCTGACTTTTATGTTAGTAACTTGCACAAATGGTTTTTCTGCCCACCATCGGTTGCTTTTTTGTATTGTAGAAAATCGAATGTATCCCCTGATATGCACCACCCTGTGGTTTCTCATGAGTTTGGCAATGGGTTGCCAATAGAGAGCGCATGGATTGGTACTAGAGATTACAGTGCCCAGCTTTTAGTACCTTCAGTTATGGAGTTTGTGAGTAGGTTTGAAGGGGGAATTGATGGAATTATGACAAGAAACCATGAGCAAGTACTGAAGATGGGGAGAATGTTGGCAGAGTCATGGGGAACAAATCTTGGCTCGCCGCCTGAACTCTGTGCAGGGATGATAATGGTTGGCTTACCTTCAAGGTTAAGAGTTTGGAGTGAGGAGGATGCTTTGAGGTTGAGGGAGCATTTGAGGGTCCATTTTGGGGTTGAGGTCCCAATTTATTATCAGCCACCGAAGGATGATAGTGAGGGTCATGCTAGGGATAAGGATGGGGTTATAACGGGGTATGCCAGGATTTCTTATCAGGTTTATAATGCATTGGAGGATTATGAGAACTTTATGAATGCAATAAATATCCTTGTCGCCAAGGAAAAAAATTTGCAAAATGTTATGGACAGGTAAAATGATGAGGTATGATCTTCACTACCATGGAGTTGTGTGTAAATATATAAGCATAATCAGTTAGTATGCTCTGATTTTGTCATTGGTTCCACTCTCTTGGGTAGATTTAAATTTATGTCTCTCGGGACTTATAGTTGCAAATAATTTCTTGGCGAAATTGCTTAGAGGTAATGAAGCAACATTGAATACTTTAGTTCTCGTTTGTCTGCATTTTTACAAAGAAATCTCTGCTTTCATATTGATATAGCCAAATAACTTGAAACATTGTTGTGCAAACCTACTCTACATGCATATTGTTCTAACTCAAATAGCTTGGACTTCATTGAACTGAAGTCCATCTCAAATATACTGGACTTCATTGAGCTGAATAACATTTCCCGTGCTAGGACTATTTTTTCTTATTGGATGCAGAATAAGTCATATGAGATTTATCTTGATTCATGACAAGAGGTATAAATGGTTAAGAACCTTTAATATTTAAATCCACTATGCCCTTCTTGGTTTGAACAAATTAGAATTCTATAAACAATCAAACCCAAGTTATGTTGTGGAGGATCTTGAATAATGTCATGAGCGTGTTTGATTGCATTTGTCATGTGTGTAGATTTGTATGTGTGTCTAAGGTGCAATTACTGACTGTATGTGGTAATCGATCTAAAGTATCTTTCCTTATTTTCTATATTTTTGGCAGTTGGATGTAAACAGATGGGCAGCATAATGGGGACTAACAATCGTTTCACCAGTTATTTTGCCCTGTCTTGGTTTTCTAATGACAGAACTTTGAACCCATACACACCTGGCTAAGTGAGGCTCTTTATGTGCTCATCCTAAACTTAGAAGATATCCTGCAAACCTTCCTACACTGATCCAATGTGCAACTTGGTGTAGCTTTGTTATTCCGTCTCTGTATTCATGACAATAAATGTACGCAGGTGGCTTTTAAGTAGTTCAGTTGCCTTTGCACGAAATTTATATTATAGGACATCTATCAGAGAGCTCCGTTCTGGTGTATTTGGTTGTTTTTGCAGGGTTGCTTCATGGGAATTTTAGAAGATGGCTAACGTAATTTTTATCAATTTATATTTGTTCCATAGTTTTCAGCAAGGAATTGCATTTGAGAAACTGTATTTATGAGATAAATTTATAAGACCTGCATGATGGTAACATCGTAAAATTGATATAAATCTTGTCAATATGACCGCCAATCAGGGGTATTGTTTGTAATGGATGCTACTAAGTTCTCCTTTCACCCCCAAAATGATAGATGTGAAGAATAAGGCAAAAAAAAGAAAAGTAATTGTTCACACCAATATTTTGACTAACAGATCAGTGAAATTTGAAATCCCTTAATAGATGTAAATACCATTGGGACGGTGAACTAATCTACAAAGGAGGAAAAAATTAACTGCGGTACTTCTAAGTGAATATTCGAATTTAATATGTATTACTAAATCTAAATGTACAAAGAGCATTCAACTCAGAGTTGACATTTTGGCCAACTAAAAATTTTAAAAAAAAAATCAAATAGTGCATTCTTCTATGCAAAGGACAAAATTTGAATGTTAGAAGCTTATATATTAACAATCCGAGACAGTAAAACTATCTGAAAGCTTATATGAACAGCTCCAATTCAGTAAAAGGTATTGTCAAGAAAGAGCCATCCCATACTTGTTACTCTTGTCTTTGCCCAGAATTCTGCGAGAATAATGTCCACATCTTCCAAACCAACGCCAATGCATAAAGAATTGATTGAAGGTCTAAGCATCCTCGTAGCTTGATCCCATTGGGAGTATCTACAATCTTAGATTAGGACCATCCTTGCATTTTCCCAGCATTTGCACCCCCGACACAGCAAACTCTGTGCCAAGCTTACTCCAAATTCTTGCAACAAAGCCTCAGCTCCTAACTTTTTGCATTTGCCACCCATACAAAATCTCTATTTTCTTGGCCGATGTTCGCTCTGCAATGCTTTCTGTTTGCTCCTTATTGCAGCCTTAGAGCTGCTGCATTCACCCCCCTTCTATATTTTGAGAACTCATATCTCCAAATCCCGCGTTTCCTCTGACTTCTCTTGTTGAAACAGTGAGCCGTGTACCTGACGTTGCACTTTTATCTTTTGTTCTGCTTCACTGTTTTTGATTGTTCGAGAACATTACTTCTCAGCGGATCATGTCAATAAACTCTCCATTTTCACTGCCGCGGAACTCGGATGATGAGCTAGATGATGACTCAGATTTTTGCTTTTCCTTTTTTTGTCTCAAGGTATTCTTAATTTGGGCTTCTTCTTTCATCGTTCTCTTCAATTCCTTTTGTCTGTTCTCAACTGTGCACCTGTGCTTGCAGAAACTCTACCGCTCCCTGCATTGAAGATAGATGATTACATTATTTTTGTATGTTGTACATATTATTGGTCGAGCACAAAGTAGATTTGATCTAGTAGGTGATTCTCCCATTGAGCAGATACGAAAGATTATACTCCCAAAAAAATACAATACTAGACTTTATATTTGCTACAGATGAGCATAATAATACGTTATCTATAATCAAAACTTAATCTATAGATTTAGGTATAGTCGATGAAAAATATGCCAAAAAAAATAAAGAATAACGAAGAAGCTAAAGCACCAAAACTCAAAAGGAAGCAAGTTACTTTCTTACCGAAATCTTTTTCATTCACCAAACTATTTCCATTCTCAATGCCGGAGGTCTCAAGCGAAAACAAGGACAAGTCTTTTGACATTTTTTTTATAAACTTCAATTTCTTCTTGACTAGCTTAATTTCAGAATTGTTTTCCTTCTCTTTCTTCTTGAATTGTTTGACGGCGAACATAGTACTGTTGATGTTCAGAATCAGAAACAAAATGAGTATTCAATCGCGCCAAAAGTTTTCTGGGTCTCTCTGAAACTTTGAAATCTCCAATACCACATGGCACTTGGTCGTAAACCGGTTACTGATATCGGAAGGAAAACGTAGAGAAGCGGTGTTGAACAGTCCTCGTCGTCTCCATTGCTTGGTTCAAAAGCCGTCCACCCCGTGTCGACATGACGTAATATTAGTAGCATCCTTACTTCCTTAACCGATTCGGAACGAAAGGGAGGGAGATTGAAACTAACTGAAAGATTAACGTGGCAATAGCTATTAGTGCAAGAAGAGTAAGGCTGACGTGGAGATGCTTTGTTAGAACCTGGGCACTCGGGATAGTTTCAGTTCGCCACACTCCTTTCGGTTTTGACATGCTTTTAATGTAATATAAGCGGTACGTTTCACCCTTAATATGGACGGTTAAGATTGATCCACGTGGCTGCCAGCTGGCGGATCATTTAATTTCAAAAGATAAGCATAAATTCGGGTTAATTAAATTGAAGCGACTTAACCAATTGTAGATTTGTAGGCCTTAATTTGAAGGAGCCCGGCCCGCGCATGGTCGAAAGCACGCATCTTCGACCACGTGGCAAAGAAACTCTCAGCTACCAAATCAGAAGGACATCATTCATGGAGGTGTATTCACCTGATACAGCTTGAAGCGCATGCAGCACCGAATGCATACTTACTTGTTAATTCTGAACCTTGAAGCTTCGAAGCTGTTTTGATCGGGAGCTAGTTAATTGAATAATCTGATTTTCAAAATGGCCGAAGAATCGACCCCTCGATCAGGTGATGAATTTTGTATCCGAGGATCAGGACCGGATTTTAATTAAATTAATTTATTACTCCTCTGTAAACCCTAATTATCATTTTTCTCGATTGTTAATCATGCGTTTGGTGGATTAACTGTGACAGTTGGATCAAGCAAAAAAAGCAAGGGGTGAACGAGTCGAGGATGGTACTGCCCAGAGAGATAGACCTCTCTTCGAGGTTTGTTCACTTCATTTTTGCATAAAAACTTCCTCTTTCATGCTAATATGTTTTATTTTGATTCTGTTTAAGAACTTTTGTTCTTCAATATATGTCAGTTTGCTACACTTGCTCAATATTTTATCATTTTAGACAAGTGTTAATTATTGGGGATTTTTGGATTCTAAAGAATTGCTGATTGCATTACAACATTGTCTCATTAATTTTCATTCGAGAAATGCACCTTTTGATTTATAATGGTATTTTTTTTTTTTTTTTTTCACTTGATATAGATTTTGAAGGAGAACAAAGACAAAAAGGATGCAGAATTTAATGAACGCTTCAAGCATAGTAAGTGTTAAAGAGTCTATCATTTGAGCTACAGTTGGTCTTCTTTGTTAATGGTCAATTAAATAGAGTGTGCAAGTTTTTACTTGGAGGGATACCTCTGTGTGTGTTATATTGCTAGTCAAAGTCAGTTTTTGCATGTCTTTATATATTGTTCTACATGTCATTTCTGTGCTCAGGTGTGTTGAGGGTGCTTGTTTGTAAGGAACATGTAATTTGAAGACCATGTTTTTGGATAACCCTATGAATGGGTTGTGGTTGAGTAGTCTAGCTACATTACTGCTAAGCAAATAGAATTATGCATGGTTTACAGATCTCGAACATTAACTTGCAAGATGGAATGAAGACTAATCACTTAACTTATTGCAGGACCACCCAAAGCCTTGGATGAAGACGAAACTGAGTTCCTTGATAAATGGGAGATGGTGAGACTATTTTAAGATAATTGGTTATATAATTCTTCTAGAAATGCAACGAGTGTTTTTCCTTTCAGAGAGTTTTTGCTGTTCACCATGTCTGCTAATACCCAGTAAGACATGTTGTCATGTTTGGTTGACATTTGGACCATAATTGTTCATTATTTTAGGTTCTTACAAGTGATATGCCAAGCTGAATGTTTTAAAAGATATAAAGTTAGAAGTAATTTTCTTTCTTGCTCAACAATTTCTTGTTAGACAAACATCCAAACTCATCTATGCTTCTTTAACTTTAGTATTTATATTTTTATCTTGCAGTCTAGGAGGGAATACGAGCAACAAGTGGCAGATGAAGAGACCCAACAACTGCGGAGTTTCCAAGTAATTTTCTAACAAATCTGAATTCTTAGCAATTAGTGATTTAAACTGATATTGCTAAGAATTTTATGATGCATTCTGCTATATGTTCCTATGTGGATGCATAATTTGTTAGGTTGGGTATTATATGTTCAATCCATAAAAAATTAGAACTGGCTAATATATGTAGCCTTGGTCTCTGTTTATTGTGTACTGGATTAAAACCATCCTGTTTGTCTTCCAAGATAAATGTGCTCTTCAGCAGTGTGTGAATACTAATCCTAATATTTTCAATGGCCACAAGCAGCTGCATGATTTATGTCCAGGATTAATGTTCACCTGATCCTTCATTTTAGACAGTTTTCCGATTGTTTCTTTTTCAGGCAGCAGTTGCAGCACAGTCTACTATTGTACAGGAACTGAAGGAAACAGCCCCTGCTCCTGTGGTCCAGGTTTGTATTCTAATGTTTGTGTTATTTTTCTTGACAACTTCTTAGCGTGCATGTTCATGTAATGATTGACTTACCTTCCAGGAAATGTAGCAATTAATAACTGAGGCAGAATTAGCTTCTGCAAGTTAAATAATTTGGCAGAGCCTTATGTTTGTCGGGATGACTTGGTCCTGTGATGTAGAATTGTTTAGCCACTGACCTGGATACATATCTATCTGATGGTATTGTCAGAGGTTTAGTGTTGATTCTTTTCTCATTGCAACTTAATTCTGATTCCAGGAACAGAAACCAACTGGGAGGAAAAATCCGCCCACCCGTCCGTTAGGCATGATAATAAAAGTCAAGCCACAAGCAAAGAAAGCGAAGATAGATCATGGAAGTGTTGAAGAACATTCAGATATGGTGAAAAAACCTGTTGTTAATGCAGAAAAATCACCAGATCCTGTGAAAACATCTAATGGTGATACTGCTAACTCTAACGATGTAGCAAAAACATGTCTAGTTACATACAGTGATGAAAGTGAAGATGATGATTAGTAGTTCAGTTTTCCTATATGAGGACAGTAGTGAGTTCTTTAGTTAATTTTTTCAAAATCATATACTTTAGGTATTGAACCATTCAAAGTTGGAAACATCTAGCATTCTTGGTAATCCAATTTCCACGGTTCAAGCAGTCAGTTCATAACCTCACAAGAGCCATTAAAATGAAGGATATATACAAGCGATATGGTGTATTTTGCAGATTCAGGTAAAGAAATTCATAGGAAAAACTCGTAGTTGAAGCGCCACTGCCTTGAACTGTTGCTTAGGAGGCATAAAACCCATGTTTAGTGTTGGTCAAAATATCATGCTTTCATTTCTCTTCTAGGCAATCACGTCTGCTTCCTTGATTGTGTATAAACGATGAGATACCACCGCTATAATTCGGGGATTTATCACTTGGTCTAGTTTATTCAAGAAAAATGCTATGGACACCGACGTTTTGCACAAAAGTTTTACATTGAACGATGTGTCCATTGAATCAGACAAACTACGTATCACGTTAACAAACATTCCACGAATGAACAACCGTCTATCAAATATGGACGACTATCCATTGTTATTGGACGATCGTTCATTTGAAATGGACGACCGTTCATTTGAAATGGACGGCTGTTCATATTATATGGATGGTTGTCCACATAGAATGGACGATTGTTCATAGTTTAAACTAAAAAAAATTGGAATAAATTGTTTATGGACGCCTGTCCTCTTATGAGGACGATCGTTCATAGTTATGAACCGGCGTCCACACTGTAAAGTTTAAAAAAAAAGTTAAAAAAAATTTAAGGACGCCCGTCCATTATTCAGTGGATGGGGACTATAGAATTTGCTTAAATGGTCATTGCATAAATATGTTTGTTCAATTTGGAATCTGCTTATGACCCACCTACTAAATGGACTACATAATCTGCACTGCAATTAAACAATTTTCATCTTCCTTCTAACCATTTTCATTAATTCTGCTACAATTACATATCCAATAATGTTTATCCTATGTATATATAACATACATGGCGATAAAATTTGCAGCATGAACTTTTTAATACACATGAGACTGCCATTGAGAGTGTCTTGTAACAACTGACCAATCCTCATGTACAGTTTTGAGCTACTTTTGAAAATCAAGAAGCTCAAAAATCATTGATCCAGTTGAGGCTGTGGACATAAGTTATGAGCCATATAAAGCTGATGTTGCTACCTTTCGTGACCCAGAATTGTCATGATTGCCAGCAGGTTTGTTGGTCAATCGACGTTTGTAGCGTTTGAGAACAGATGTCAGATTCTCTTTTCTCTTTGGGAAAGCCACATCACAAGCAGCAGTGCCTGTTCGTCCCTTTCGACAAGATATAGCAGTCACTACGTCCTTAATGATGTCTAGAAGCATCGCTGCAGTTGTGCATTTCCCTCTTTCTGGTTTTGCAGTAGAGGGCAACATGTTTGTTCAGTTTGGAACAAACGGGCTCCCGTCCCTCATTGCAGTACAGATCCTCTTGAGGTGCTCTGTTTTATTCAGTTTTGCTTGCTTTTGAATATATTTGTTCAGAAACTTATAAAGCAATAAATATGTTTGTTTAAATGTTTGACTGAATTCTTTTAGGTGCATAGATACTTTATTTGGATTATTTATTTTTAAAAACTGTCATAAATTTAATGAAATTTTAATAATGGATGCCCGTCCACTGAACATCCGTCCATACAATATGAACAGGAGTCTATTGAAAATGGGCAGGCATCCATAAATGTTAGACGACCGTTATTCACGAAAGACTTCAGTGTGATCGCGTCTAACTAGTTACCATGTCCTCTAATATAAAAATTCGGTGTAAAATTTTGGTGACTGTAACATTACTCTATTTTCAATCGCCTAATCGGGTTCACGCATATCTTTGGATTTTGAAGTTTGAACAACAGCTTCTAATGCTGATACAGTGAAACTGATAAGCTCCGCCTGTAGGGTTGGGAGTTGGGACATAACAATGCAGCCCTTTATGATTCTGGCAATTGGGCTGGACATGTAGTCACTACACACACAGCCCACAATATCCTCATTCGGCATTGCGTTGTGGTGATTGGTAAAGATGGAAGTAAAGTAAGTTACTATTAAGCCCACCTACAATTGGTGGGGAAGGTAATCAGAATAAATATTAATCTTAACATCTCCGAATTTTCTCCACATATTAATGTTTCAAAGCCGGACACATTGACGCACTTTTGGACATGTTTGTTAAATCACTTATTGTATTTTGTATCGAAAATCTAATTTTTCAAATTGTGTATTGCGTAACGTATCGTAGGATACACTTTTTTAAAAAAAGAAGTTAATAAAATGATAAAATTTTCTAAAAATTAATATTATCCCCAAGATTAATTAAAAAATTTTGTGGTATTATTGACTTTAAATTATAGTATTATATAATCAAAATTAATCTCAAAATTAATAATCTATATCATTTTCTGTCAACCATTCATATCATTTTTAAGATCAATGTCAGCATCTATATCTCCACTTGTATTATTATCATCATGCAAAATGGGTAAAACATGTTCTTCTTTACTTTCTCCATGCAAAATGGGTAAATTTGAGTAGGTTTTAGTGAACCAGGTTGGGTGACCTGGATCCGACCCAAAATTTTTTGGGTCTCAGGCCCAATTTAATAAAATCGTATAGATTTATATCGATATTTTTAAGGATACGAACGAATACGTATTTTAAGATACATATCAATATATTGAAAGATTTATGATACACTTTTTAATACGTATTATTAACGACTCGTATCGAATCATATCATAAGATACTGATAACTAGACTTTTGATAACCCAGCAATCGCCAATAAGCACTCTTAACATTAATGCACGCCTTGACAGAAAGGATCCATTAGCCATTAGGTTGAAGTCTTGAAAATTAATATTTTATGCAAGTTACTTGGGAATATTTTAGAATTTATTTTCATTGACTTGTTGCAAAACCAAATTGTAGGCCTCCAACAATGATCTTACCTGAAGGTGTAAGAAATTGATATTTATTAGTCGTTTTGACTAGATATGCAATGCCATATTTGTTAAGTATCATCAATAAAAAATAAAAAAATAAAAACAAATGAGAGTACACGGTTTTGCTCACCATTTCATTGGATAAACCGAATTATAAAGAGAGAGAAATAAGAAAACTTTCGAGTAATGAAAGTGAAACAAATTAAAAATTAGGACAAGGAGAAGTTTCCCCTTAACCAAGATCAACGATATTCATTATTTTAGTAATTTCATGAATTTGTAACTTAAATTAAAAATTAGGACAAGGAGAAGTTTCCCCTTAACCAACGCAGGAAGATACATTGGGATTCAGACAGGTGAGGTGGTTGTAATTATTGAATATTTAATTATAGTTGTGGAGGGAAACTTGCGCCGAAATCTATTCTGTTATCGTCATCCGTGACGTTTCTTCCCCACCAATCTCCCTTTAATTATTCGCTTCTTGATATTGTAAATGCCACTCCTGCGTCCTACCCATACTGAATACTACTAGAACTTCTTGAAAACACGCCACCGTCACTGCTATTAAGAGTGGCTCCTTATTTAATAGTGCAACCCAGTTTGTTTGTATGCCAACAAATACGAAAAAGAGGGAAATTATGTAAGGTAACTTTCTTGGACTTTTTATTCAATTCATTTCCGATAAAATACATTGGATATAATAAGATACTTAAAACCCTGGAACAACAATAGAGGAAACAGAAGATAATTTTAAGCTATAAATTCCCTTCTAAGTGGAAAACAGAAGACAGTAAATGTCCACCAAAATTGTAAATATTAGAAGAGACTTATATGTAAAGCTTATGAAGTGGAAGCACTAGTGTGAAGTGCTACTAAAGAGGCATAACATCCATCTTCAATATTAATCAAAGTACTGTAAATATTAGAAGAGACTTATATGTAAAGCTTATGAAGTTGAAGCACTGGTGTGAAGTGCTACTAAAGAGGCATAACATCCACCTTCAATATTAATCAAAGTATCATGCTTTCCTTTCTCTACTATTACTCCATTTTTAACCACTGCTATCATATCTGCATTCTTAATTGTGGATAAACGATGAGCCACCACAACTGTTGTTCGGTTCTTCATTACTCGGTCTAATGCATCTTGAACTACACGTTCTGATTCAGCATCCAATGCACTGGTAGCTTCATCTAAAAGTAATATCTTTGGATCTTTAACAATGGCACGTGCAATGGCTACCCGTTGCTTTTGGCCACCTGACAATTGGATTCCTCGCTCTCCAACCATCGTATCATAGCCCTGTGTTTTGCATTGAATAAAATATAAGAATGCATGTTTCCAGTTTTGATCAACACTGGATAATGTTTCAGGATGTTCTAACCTTTTGTAAACTGCTGATGAATTTGTGGGCATTGGCCAATTCTGATGCAGCTAAAATTTCGGCTTCAGTTGCGTTCCCTTCCTTTCCGTATGCAATGTTGGAACGGATTGTTTCATTAAACAAAGCTGGTTCTTGGCTCACTAGTCCCATCTGCTGTCTTAGCCATTTCAATTTGAGCTTTTGAATTTCAACCCCATCAAGTGTAATCTGTCCTGCATCAGGGTCATAGAACCTTTGTAACAAGGAGATCACTGTTGATTTTCCACATCCACTCTCTCCAACCAGAGCAACAGTCTGAAAGGAAATTAATACCAATATATAATTTGGATTTTCAAACGGTGTTATTCAGAGAAATGCCAGTTTGATTTATCCACAATTAGTCCATAGAAATGGAAAATAAAATAGTAAATATTTTACTGCGTACCTTGCCAGCATGAATGGCCAAGCTGAGGTCTCCGAGAATCTGAACATCTGGCCTCGAAGGATATTTAAAGCTTACATGATGAAGCTCTATTTCTCCCTTGACATTTTCTATTGTTGTCCCAGACTCATCACTAGAGTCTATTTTTGACTGGCGGTCTATAATTGCAAATATTGAAGCAGCAGCACCCTTAGCTTTGGTGGAATCCGGAGCAAAGGAGCTGCTTTGAGAAATTCCCAAAGCTGCCATGGTCAAAGCAAAAAAGACCTGCAACACGGACATAGATAAGGCTTTGTATGATTGGAACACTCGGTGTTTACAAAGTTGTAGCTTTTGGAAATATAGGCGTTTAGTTATGAATGATACACATACTCTAAAAACATCAGTAAATGTTGCTTTGCCAGCATCAACAAGTCGAGCTCCAGCATAGAAACTGGTTGCATAGAAAGCAAACAGAAAGAAGTAAGATAATCCAAATCCTGCTCCACTGGTCAACCCTCGCTTTATTCCAGTCTCCATAGGACCGTCACATTTCGTTTTATATAGTTGCATCACCTTCTCCTCAGCACAGAAAGAAGCAACTGTTCTTATACTTCCAACTGCATCATTGGCAACTTGGCTTGCTTCCTCGTACTTCTTCTGCAAATATTGATATTAAAAGGAACATATATATTAATATTATTAACATTCAACCATATAGTAATTTTAGCAGGTGCTGCCACAATAACAAATTTAAATTTAGAGGATACCTTTGCATCTGCGCTGAATCCTTTCAGGAACTTCACTTGAACATATCCAGTGACTCCTATCAGAGGAATTATGGCAAGGATGATAAAGGCTAACTGCCAACTTGCAGTAAAAGCAATGACCAAACCTGCCAGTGCTGATGCACTGTTTTGAACAAGCTGAGCCAGTGCATCTCCAACTAGAGCACGCACTGATGCTGCATCTGCTGATAGCCTTGCCCCAATTGTTCCACTTGAGTGCTCAGGCTGATCAAACCAATCAACCTCCATGTGAACCACTTTCTCAAAACACTTTGACCTTATCCGTTGGATTAACTTGCATCCAGCAACAGAAAAGAAGTATGTTTGGGCTGGATTTGCGATTAATGCTGCTACCCCGAAAACCACGAAAATTATTGACCAGAACCTTGTATCCTTTATCAGTTCATCACGTGGTTTGTAAAATGCTTCAATTATACTGGACATTAGTATACCAAAAATTGGCATTAACACGCCATTTGCAATAGCAGATATTGATCCAAGGAGAATAACTGGAATTTCTGGCTTATTGAGACTGGCAAGGCGTCGAATTGAGACTTCAGGAGCTTGTTCTGTTGGTGGTGGAGGATCTTCTGGATCTCCATTGGCAGTATCAGCCACATTGTGTCCAACAGGTCTACCAAATGAGTCTGAGAATGAGTGGCGACTGCTATTTCCATTTGATGATCCTCGACTTATGGACCGTCCCAGGGACATTCTTTGACTAGACACCCTAAAGGATTCCTTCGAAATTTCTAATTTGTTTTGGCCATCTATAACCTGTCCTGAATCCTTGTTTACTTCCTGTAACCGTATAAGCTGAGAGTAAGCGCCATCAGGATCCTCGAGTAGCTGGAAATGTGTGCCTGAATAAATTGAAAATATATAAGTACTTTTGTGTCCTTTACACGGTGGCAGTAAACTTCAAAAAGCCCAGATGTATTCTGATATAATTCTGCACTGCCAATAGTGATCAAGAAACACATTGCTATTTATTAAACAAATGTTCAAAATAAGCAGGATATATACTTGTAATTCATATGGAATTCATAGGCATATGCTATAAGGTGGAGTTCTGAAGAAAAGGAAACTGCACATTATGTGACAATTAATAAGTCATATTGCTCTCCGTGTAAATGAGTTACAATAAATATGCTACAGCTACAATTTTAAGATACCTTTTTCAACCATTTTTCCTCGATGAATGACAGCAATCGTATCAGCATTTCTCACAGTGCTCAGACGATGGGCAACTATGACAGTAGTCCGATTGACCATTATCCTGTCTAGTGCCTCTTGCACCACCCTCTCAGATTCTGCATCAAGTGCACTCGTAGCTTCATCTAACAGTAAAATTCGAGGATCTTTCAGAATTGCTCTTGCTATTGCAATTCTCTGTTTCTGTCCACCAGACAACTGTGTTCCATGCTCACCAACCATAGTGTTTAGTCCCTGTATAAAATGTGAAAATTGGGGATTCATGTTAGGGAAAATCAAGTCACTTAAGACATTTCATTGAAAACCAATTAACTAGTAAGTAAAACCTGTGGTAGTTTATCAATGAACTTGGCAGCATTTGCGAGTTCAGTTGCTGTTTTTATCTCTTCAATTGTTGCACCATCCTTTCCATACGCAATATTATCCTTAATGCTTCCCGTAAACAACACCGGTTCCTGGCTGACAAGACCAATTTTCTCCCTAATCCATTTAAGCTGAAATTCTCTAAGGTTAATGCCATCTATAAGAACTTCACCAGCTTGTGGATCATAAAATCTCTCTATCAGACTAACAACTGTTGACTTCCCACTTCCACTTTGTCCAACGAGAGCAGCAGTCGTCCCACTTGGAATTGAAAGGGAGAATCCACTAAAAATTGGCTCATCTGGTCGTGCAGGATAACTGAAATAAACATCCCGCAGCTCTATATCTCCACGAATGTCATCCAATATTTTTCCCCTTGTGTCATAAGCATCTATCTCTGGCTTCCTATTTATAGTCTCAAACATCTTAAATGCTGCAGCTTGACCAGCAGCAAACGCACTCAGACATGGAGACCCCTGCCCTATGGACCTGATTCATCCATATTGTCAATACAACAAGCAAACCATAAGCCAAAAGCCGCAAACAAGTTTCTAATGATACGGAGATGGAAATCATCGCTCGGAAGAAGCTACACAGTTTGAATCGGGACTTACATTGAACCAGTCAATACAGCAATAATCACTTTAAGTACTCGCCCCCCTGTATATCCTTCGTTCAATATCAACCTGCCACCAAACCATACAGCCAAAGCATAACTGCAGTAAATAAGTGCTATCATTAGACCAAAACCTAGTCCACCAGCGAAGCCTTCATGAACACCTGATTTGTAAGCAGTAACAAGAAACTTGTTGTAATTACTTATGGCTTGTTTCTCCCCAGTAAATGATGCAACCTGGAACAAAATCAAATTATTAGCATACTTTAAACCAAAACACAAACAAAGTTTATTGAAAGATAGAAGTCCAATATTTTAAAGAATATATCTGGTTGTTCTGGCTAATACATACAATTCGGATGGAGCCAATTGTCTGTTCGACTACACTTGCTGCTTTTGCATAGGCATTTTGTCCACGGGATGACATCTTGGATACCATGACTGCCATGGTTCCACCAATTATTACAAGAGGAGGAAGAACGCACAACATTACAAGGGTGAGAAGCCACCCTTCTATAAATGCTATCGTAAAACCTCCAATAAATGTTGATAAGAGCTGTAGGAATTTCCCAACCTGAAAAAATAAGAAGACTTAGCTTTGGAGATATCACGTGCATAAAACTCAACGTGCTTTTTCTTGCTCAATGCAAGCACCATACCTTCTCACCCATTGCATCTTGTATAAGAACAGTGTCACCAGACATCCTCGAGACTACCTCGCCTGTGTTTGATTCCTTATCAAAGAAAGCAATATCTTGTCTCAGTATAGTTTTCAGATACAAGCTCCTTATTCTTGCAGCCTGTCTTTCCCCTGTAACCATCCAGCAAGCCACCTCTGACAAACAATAAACGGAGGCTTCTTAGTTCTCATTCCTCATCTAGATTAATTACTTCTCAATGAATTTAAAACTTGTACTGATCTCGAGCATGTTCACTTACGCATGAATGCCGCTATTCCAGCACCAATTGCCAAGTACACAAACTTTAGAGAGACCTAAAGAGTTTGCAGGAGATTAATTAGTAAATGTGCTCATAAAAATTAGGCTTATCATAAGACAAAGACCAAGAGTTCAAAAACATCCCCCATTAATACAATTTTGCGGCCTACCTCTTCATTTATATCACTATTTAGATCAAACAAACGTTTTACTTGGGGAAATTAAGTGAAACGTGCAACATAAGTTCAAATAATCGTTAACTCAGCTCAAGCTGCATATTTTTACCTTTGAAACCGCATCAACCACGTTGCCGTTATTCTGGTTTTGTCCAAAAGAATCAGTCAAGTCACCAACTAGTATTGCCATTACGGGCGTACATACGCCATTTCCTATAGCTCCAATTGAGCCAATGCTCATCAGCATTATATCAGTAAAATCTGCAAATGCGAACAACTTGGGAAATGGAACCTTGTTAGCTTTCTCTTTTTCCTTGCTCTTCTCCAACTCTTGTTGGTCGCCATTCATGTTGGAGCCTTTATTCGTCTCTTCTTTGCTTCTTGACGTGGTGGCCTCATTAGAACTGGTATCACCATTCTCAAAGGCCATTCTACTGGCTCCAAGACACTAGCTCAGTCGACGACTACTATCAGAATATTTTAACTTCAAGCAAGCTGCATCACACCATTAATACTCGAGTATCAGCAACATGAAACCCAAATAGCTGGAAAAATGGTCAGATTTGGACTATTAATAATCAAGGACTAGATACTTGGAAAAAGACGAAAATATGATGGATACATTTTGAGTTTGAAAGGGTTGAAACATATTGGCAGCGAAAAAATCAAGAAGAACAATTTTGACAAAATATTCCTTAAATTCTACAGAGTATTAACATATTAAAATTTGAAAGTAAAGCAGACAACAGTAATCAACCGTAGTTAATTTATGATAAAAGGGAGAAAAAAAAAATGATCTTTTTCCAACAAAAAGGCAGCACATAAACAAGAAGATCCAATTCCAATAATAATTTACAAAGTTAACAATTTTAGTATGTTAATTAGTTTAAAAAGTAAAAACACACCATTGATCAAATCCAAAATATAAGAAAACTGATCTTGCAAGTATTTCAAAAAACTGGTAATAAGAACAGAGATCTCAAAAACAGAGTGTTTGTTTCATTGTTTGATTTTCCTTGATAGAATTTGAGATGGGCCCAACTCTTCACTCAATAAGATCTTATTGAATAGGAGGATTACCCCCTCTTATAAACTAGTAGACTTGAGCGTGCCTAGTCGGTGTGGGACTCCAACACTCCCCCTCACAGTCAAGCCCATATGTTGGGTTATGCCTGTTATTGAAGGTAATTGTCGGCTCTAATTCCTCACCTACTGGTCAAACACTCAGTTCAACTAAACCTGACTCTGATATCATGATAGAATTTGAGATGGGTTTGACTTCTTCTTCAATAAGACCTTATTGAATGGGAGGATTACCCTCTCTTATAAACCAGTAGGCTTGAGCATGTTTAGTGGTATGGGACTCCAACATTCCTCTCTCCAGTAACACTTGAGTCTCGGAAAATAAGGAAAGAAGAGAGAGAATGTAAAACCTGAAATCTAAAACCAGGTTTGCCCATCATAATATTACACAATGCGTCAATTAAAAAAAAAAAAAAAAAGTACGATGCACTGAAAGCTCTGTTCTACTTTCGACAGAAAAAATCTCTGCAACCTGCGGCACATGTTTAAAATACGAACATGTTACAGTTGAACTTTTTTCCGATGCAAACCATCATCATTATAATCATCAACATATAAGTAGATGACCTTATGTATCAAAGACATTACATGAACACAAGCCATCTGCCAAAAGTGGATAACAGAGAAGAAAAGCCATTGATTAGCTTTACCTACTACCAAAAGATGACAAATGTTAGTTGAAATGAGCAGTTTCAGAGCTCTGTTTCTATGAACTTAAAACACTTTAAACTTTTGTGGGTGCTTTGCGTTTATGACAGTTCATTACACGTTTATATAGAAATGCCATTTGCTTTTGCTTGAATAACAAGCATCATGCATGGGTAACATGCTCCAAATATTCACCAAAAATATTATTGCACAGCTTGGTCAAAAGCGTGGGGTTTCCATTTTATTTGTCACCTATACTCTTATTTTTTATTCAATACCCGCTGTTGTATTTTCATACGTCTCTGCCAAACGTAAAAAGGCATATTAGTTTATTATAATTTATATATACATATATAGAACTTTGAGCATATATATTCAGGTTTCAGTTACAGAGACTGAGTAGCAAATTTTATTTTATTTTTTGCCTTTTTGTTAATTTAACTTTCTACTGTTGCAGGTATTTCAAAACTTGGTTTCCATTTTTTTTTTGTTTTTTTTGGTTGTTCATCTCTTGTTTGGTTTGGTGTGAGAGGGAAAAAGAAGACAACAAAGTGCTGTAAAAAAATATATTCCCATGGAATCAAGATAATATTGTATGAGCTAAGCTAAATAAACGTTCCTCTCTAGTCTCTATCAACAATATTTTAAACGAAAACCAATAAAGGATGAAAGGCTTTTTATTTGCTTAAGCAATAATTCAGAAAAACAAGTTATCACGACCCTTTTGAATATACATACAAGTAAAAATAATGTGTTTATGAATGAAAATGAAATTAATTAATTAAATAGTTGTTAGAAGATTTTAACGTTTTCATATATTCAATTAGTATTTCAATTTAACATCATTTGTTATATTTTAAATAAGTTTTAAATTTTCACATCAGCAAGACAGCAACTGTAAATCCTCAATAATCAAATTTTCATCCTTGAAAAAAGACAAGTTTCTTGAAAACACGCCACCGTCACTACTATTAAGAATGGCTACTTATTTAATAGTGCAACCCAGTTTGTTTGCTTGCTAACAAATAGGAAAAAGAGATAAATTATATAAGGTAACTTTCTTGGCCTTTTTATTCTATTCATTTCCAATAAAATACATTGGATATAATAAGACCCTAGAACAACAATATAGGAAACAGAAGATAAGTTTAAGCTATACATTCCCTTCTAAGTGGAAAACAGAAGACAGTAAATGTCCACCAAAATTGTAAATATTAGAAGAGACTTATATGTAAAGCTTATGAAGTGGAAGCACTAGTGTGAAGTGCTACTAAAGAGGCATAACATCCATCTTCAATATTAAGCAAAGTATTGTAAATATTAGAAGAGACTTATATGTAAAGCTTATGAAGTTGAAGCACTAGTGTGAAGTGCTACTAAAGTGGCATAAAATCCACCTTCAATATTAATCAAAGTATCATGCTTTCCTTTCTCTACTATTACTCCATTTTTAACCACTGCTATCACATCTGCATTCTTAATTGTGGATAAACGATGAGCCACCACAACTGTTGTTCGGTTCTTCATTACTCGGTCTAATGCATCTTGAACTACACGTTCNTTTTTTTTTTTTTTTTTGTGACCGGAGTGTCCGAGTCCTCTTACGTGCACCTCAATTAATGATTAGGGGTCTATTAACCATCTTATAAGCTCAAATAACCAAGTAAACCACAATGTTATTATAGTAAGTGACCCCAATGTTTGAACTTAGGAATTTAAAAAATTGAGCAAACCTTTTTTACCGTTAAGCAAACCATTTGGGTTTAGAAAACACGTATTTCTTATGTCTCTAAATATGAAATTATGAATGTGTGTGAAAAGTGCATGATAAGAATAGGAAAAACAAACCATCATTGAGTGCCTTGATAGTAAAAAAACAACGAGTTCAAACATGGATTACTGAGTTTGAGTTCCCTTAAGTACTAATAGAGGTGGCTATTAAAAGGATTTACCCGGACGTTCACTTTAAAGCTCTTGAGAATTAATTGTGATGTACGCAAACTGGCTCACATACTTGCGATCGTAAAAAAAAAAAAAAAAAAAACTAGAAAAATAAATAAATCATAAATATTTTATTTATTTAGTGAGTAATTTGATTATTTAAAAGGTATGATAACCAATGTTCTGAAAAACTGGACCGGATAATGACCCATTCAAGGGTTCGATTTTCGGTTTGACCGGTTGGACGGTAATTTATAAAAAAATTTTAGTCCCTGAAGGTTTGAAATTCATCAAAAACACCCCTTAATACACCCTTAAGGTTTGAAATCTATCTAAAACACCCCTGTCGCGCGAAGATTCAAGTGAGTGGTGGCGGCAGCGACGATCGACAGCTAATCGAAGCTAGAATCTTAGGGCTTTTGATGTGTAGGTGTCGGCGACTCTGATGCTAGTGTTGGGGAGTTCCATCGGCGTCAGAACTCGTCGGAATCAACAAAAGAAATCCGACGTCGCGTAAACTTTAGGTGGATGGCAATCGACGAAGGTTGGACGACGGTGACTGAAAATGGATGGGTTTGGTTGTGGAGATGTTGTCACGTCGAATGGGGGTGTTTTATCTGTCGAAAGATGTCGAAATCCAGTGGGATTTAGCTGCGATTGGACCGCAATTAGGCACTATTCTGACAGTCCAACAGCGGTCCAATCTGGTTTAAATCAAAATAACGGTTTTTTATATATACCAGACCGGATTTACCATCGGTTGCCGATAGAACCGGTCTGACCGGGAGGTCCAGTCCGATTTTCAGAACATTGATGATAACACTTATTGTTACAATTTAAATAAGAAAACGACTATAGGGTAATGTTATGCTTACCTAATTATTATTTCCTTTTTTAACAAATTAAAAATATTTGTATTTTTTTATTTCTTAACCAAACATTTTTTATTCTATCTTATCATAAGAACCTTTAAAAGGGAAAGAAGCTGTAATTAGAATAAACACGTGTAAATTAAACTCATTAATGATGAATACGTAAATTTGGTAAGTAGATGATACATTAATTATAGAATGATGGCTTTGTACAATTACAAAATAAGGAAATTTCTAACTGGACTTTTATGTTAACGGCTGAAAAACCCCACGTACAAGTCAATTCAAAATTTTCCTAATGGACACGGAAGTCACATGTGCCGCGAGTATCACTTTTACATACACGTGGCGAGTGGAAACAGTATACCTTTTTTTTTTTTTTTTAAAAACTTAGTTTATAGGCGTGTGACATACGTTTATTAAATGGATAAAGTAGAGGGCCATGTTAAATAATTAGAAAAAAAAAAAAAAAAGTCTTTATCGTATATTATTTTATCGTCTCTCAATTTCTCATATCATTATATACAATAAAAATCTCGTACATCGTTTTTCTCGTTTTTCATATAACCACACGTCAATTCACAGTGACGCAAGACAATTTAAACGGTTCTCATCAGACCATTTTTGTATTTATCTAGAAAAGTTAAGGACTGGGGCCGACTGACAATTCATACCCACCAACTTTTTAAATACTTATTTTGTACCCAAAGATTAGTAATTTTTTTTTTTTTTGTGGGGAAGCGTAAAATTGTCAAAAATCGTTATTAGCAAGGGTAGAATGGTCAACAAACATTTGACCGTCAGAGAAAAGAAAATAAAGAGCAGGCGCACGTTAGCAAGGAGATGACCGATAGTTTTTCCCGTTTTCTAGCAGATCCCAGTTTCCAAAACCACTTTCGAGAGCACCCACAAAATCCTTATCACTTTCTCTACAAAGCCCAAGCCTCCATTTTCCGTCATCAGTCACCACTTCCCACCACCACCTCCATTCACATGGCAGCTGATTTTCGATCGTTTCCGATGTCAGAAATCCACCCTTTTCCTCGAGCCTCTCCCACCCTTAATTCGTTCACCCCGAGATCAATACACCTGCCAATCATCGGAAATTGCCGCCTGAGTTTTTGCCCGATTTTCCATCTTTTCAGCCGATTTAGTCACCCAAAATGCCCCATACTGCCACCATTCAACTCCTTACCCTCTGCTCTTCAAAACCCACCCCTCCTCCAACCCTCCGTGCACGCCATTTGTGGCCTATGTCCAGCTCTTTCCACCGTGGGATAGCCACGATTTGTGGTGGCTTCCTTCGCAAATCGTTAGTGTTTTTGGTGCTGGATTAGTGGCTTTTGATTGGTTGTTGGTATTGTGTATTTTCCGACCATTGTTCTCTCCCGGATCACTCCAACCTCGCTGCTCCAAAGTTGCACACCACCTGCTCGATTTACTGCAGCACCCAGCTCCCAGGCGGCAATGGAAGAGGCTAAGGATATTTTCGTAAATCATTGTATTTCCCACCCAAAACATAGTATTTGGGTGGTAAAAGAGTTTTTTAAAAATGGGTGGGTATGATTTATGAGTGATCAGTAGGTCATTTTATGGGTGGGAACAGGTTAACTCTTATCTAGAAGAAGAAGTTATGATCACATGCGTACACCTCACTGTAAAACAATAGACATCACATAAAATTTTTAACTGACTTCAGTCTTGACTTTCAACACAGGGGATTTCTGGGGTTTAGGGGAAGCCACGTGGAGTTTGTAGCAGCGTAATCAAAACATTTTGGCAGAGATTATCCCCTTCAACTAAGTTCTTGATATGTCAAATCAATAGTTTATTAGATAATTATTTATAAATAATAATAGAAATGTTGTTATTTTCAAAGGGAAAATATATATATGCAGAGTAAGATATTCTCTAAGGTGATATTTATTTATATAAATAAAGATTATTTTTTAATTTTTAAATATAAAAAATAAAATTTATATTTAATTTAATAAACCTTTTAATTAATAAAAAATTCTTTATTAAAAAAAAAAAAGACTGAATAGGAGAAAAAAAATAATAAATAAATACAATAGAAATGTAGTTTATTAATTTAAGTTAGGATAAAGAATGAAATTTGACTATTTATATATGAAAAGTTAAACTCATTCTTTAATTTAAAGGTAAAGGATGAGTATGATGGATTTTTATTTTTTAGATAAATTTTATAATAAAGAGTTTAGATCATATAAATAATCCTTAAAAATACTAGGACAAAAATGTTAAAATGTAATTAAATAAACAAATATTATAAATTAAATGAAAGAGAGAAAGACAACATATATATCTTCATTGAGTTTCCTTGGATGCTTCAAGCACGTTTCTTTCCTTTTTTTTTTTTTTTTTTTTTTTTTTTTTGTATGAATAAAATTATTATACCATGTTTTATATATATTTATGATAATAAAATAGGTTGATTAAATTTAAATTAATATAAATTATTACTGGTTGTATGTGTAATATTACTCCTTAAAGTATCAATATTTTTCTAATTTTGTCTAATCTTTTCTATTTTTTTCTTTTTATTCTCTTATTCATATTTCATCATAGAAAAAATTATTATATGACCCTGAAATGAAAATAAGCAAATTTAACTTTTCTCTCATAAATTATTACTTTTCCGTTTTCATAATTTTATAGACAAAAATACCCTACACAAAAATAAACCTTTCTCTTCATCTCCGACTCCATTGAACCAAACCATAAACTTTCTCCATCTTGTTTTGAAAAGAAAACTCAGATTTTTGTAAAATCAAAGCGGATTGAATTGGGTATTTTTGGATTTGGCTTGATGATGTGTTATTTGCGTAGATTGGAGAAAATCCGACTGTGAAAATGGCAAACAGAATCTGGTTTTTTTGGCCGAAACAATGGATTCGGCTGGATTCAGACAGTCAAAAATCTCAAGTTATTTGGAAGAAAGAAGAAGAAGTCGCGAGTAGGTCGAATACGGGGTATTCAACCGGATTTGGCCAGGCCGAACCGACTGAATCACATGGTTTGGACCAATTTAGCATTTCAGTGCAATTTGGCCGAATCAACCGAAACCATGTGACGGGGCAGTAGATTTAACTGATATCGTATTGGAAAAGGCTGCCATCTTTATCTTTATTTAAACAATAAATCTTCAAGTTATCTGGAAAATGGCCAGTTGAATTATATATGTAGCAGTTAAATGAAGGAACTATAAGTCTATAACTTCATATTGACATAAAAAGAAAAAATTAGAAGAAAAAAAAAAAAAAACAAATTAAAATTGTATTGCATCTTTAAAGGTTGTCTTTATTGACAACTATAGCTTATGGCCCTCCATATCTTTAATACCGAAAGCAGGTTATGACTTGCAAATTCGAGCTCATTGGTGAAGTTGTCGAAATTTTTTTTTTTCCATATCATCCTGCAAAATGAAGTCAAAATAACAACAGTCCATAGCAGATAATATACACTACCATGTCGAATGCCAGACTCGACACTTGTTGGTAGAAATATGAAGGCAGTATAGTCAACATTAATACATGACAAGAAATGTAGCATACAACTCAGTAGGATTTAGATGCCATGTCCATATAACTAAGAGAAATGAAAGAAGACTCCCTGAATATCATAAAAATCCTATTCAATAGTCTGCTACTACATGCTGCTGAACTATGAAAAGAAAAGATTAAATTGGCCAAATCGGCCGTATCACATTCGGCCAATTGG